ACCTCTGCGGTCGGAAGAAATCGTCAACTCCTACTCGGCTCACTGCGTCTGCCCTCAATGCCCAATTCAGTTCAGTTGTCAGTGATCCGCAGCGACCTGATGTCCTATCCCAACCTGAGGGACCGGGCATAGCAGATGGCTTGAACCGCTTCGAACCAGCCACATGCGAAGAAGTGCTTGCTCTCCTACTGAAGGTAGACGAGAGGAAGGCCACGGGTAGCGACGGAATTCCCTGCTATGTGTTGCGACACTGCGCTCGGGTCCTGGCCCCGTCACTGACTATCTTGATGAACGCGTCACTGGCCATGGGAAAGGTTCCGATGATGCTGAAATTGGCCCATATTCGCCCCATTTTCAAGGCAGGAGACCCCGAAACTGCTAAAAACTACCGCCCTATATCTTTGCTCCCTGTCGTTTCAAAGATCCTGGAAAGGATTGTGCATAAAAGGCTGTGTGTGCTCCTAACCGAACATGACCTCCTTCCTGCCGAGCAATTAGCTTACCGAGCCCACCACTCCACAGAGGACGCAGTCTTGTTGGCTGTGGATCAATTTTACGAAGCCACAGACCAGCACCTGCATACCGGCGTGGTGCTCATTGATATGAGCAAAGCTTTCGACAAGGTCCAACATCAGACCTTGCTCCAGGATCTCTTCGAACTTGGTGTCTCCTCTACGGCACTGGACTGGTTTGCGGACTACCTCAGCGCACGACGCCAGTGTGTGGTCACTGCCAACGGTACACGCTCAGAGGAAACAGCTTGCACGTGCGGTGTCCCCCAGGGAAGTGTGCTTGGTCCGTTATTATTCGCGATCTACACGAGATGTGTCGCATCAGTAGCTGACCCGGTGCGTACACTAATGTTCGCGGACGACATCATGCTGTACCTGAGCTAGGCCCCCGTGTAATATGCCGGCATTTTTTTGAGCATTTTCGGTACAATCCGCGAACCCAGCACTTTGGGCTCGTGATGCAGCATTTTGGGGGAAACGGAGCACTTGGCCGTTGTGTATCAAAATTGAGAGAAGAAAAACTTCCCAAACAAGAACGTCCCTTCCGCATTCCGTGGGTTAGCTTCTTGTTGAGTAGTTTATGAATTGTTTACCATGGCAGACTCGAGCAAGTCTCTTATTGAGTATTTTCTGACTCCCTGGTTTTGACAGCGTGTGCTAAGGATTACAAAAAAGTGAGCATTTTCCGAGCATTTTCGGCAAGGTTTGGGAGCATTTTCGGCAAGGTTTACGAGAATTTCCCAAAAGCATTTTCGGCAAAGTTTCGGGCATATTACACCGGGGCCTAACCTGAGCCACGCTAGCGCTCACGCCATCAACATCACCCTTTCCGCAGCAGTGTCGGCTGTCGCCAGGCTACTCGATGCCAAAGGGCTTATCCTCAACACCGGAAAGACGCAAGTGCTTGCAATCAAAGCTGGACGGCAGGCACACCTCGACCTCCACATTACTTGCACTGGCACGCCTCTTGCCCAGGCCAGTACGGCTCGCTACCTCGGAGTCACTCTGGACGAAAATCTTCGCTGGTCACCGCAAGTCACCTCTATCGTCCGACGCACGGCTATGAAGCTGCGGATCCTCCGCCAGATCCGGCACTGCCTAACAGTGAGGCAAGCGATGCTGTATTACTCTGCCCTTGTCATACCGGATATTCTATATGCGTCGAATGCGTTTCTCCCAGGACTGTCCGCTGAGCAGCGGAACACAGTAGCCAAACTGGATAAACGTTGCATCCGTTGCGTGGCCGATGAGCACCCATTGTCCCACACTCTTCCCCTGTACACCAGGCTGGGTGTCTGCCCAGTGCTGGAACGAGGAGAATGCAAGCTCCGACTCCTGACATTTAGAATCCGTTCTGGAATCGTCAGTGAGCTGTTGTCGTCCCGAATTGTATTGCAAGGCCCGCCGACAGGCATGACCACTCGAGGTCAATTGGGACGCAACCTTCCCCTTCCCCTGGCCCACAATGCTTCTGGCGCATGCCGACCGCTTCTAGCCAGCTGCCGACTCTGGAATGGCCTGCCCGACTGTATGAAGTCCATAGTATCTGTCCGTGAATTCAAACGCATGCTACGCGTATTTTACTTCGGTTAAATGTAATGGCTTTCGTAACCTGCTGATGAGGCTCGATAGAATCATGCTACGATGACCCGACTTGTAAATTTGAGATCCATTTTTTTCTGCTCGTCTTGACCCTGCCTCCCCTCATTGCTACTTCCATTTTCGTATTTTTATTTCCATTTATTTTTCTCTTCATTTCTGACTCTTCTTACTGGTTGTCATCGCTTCCATAATATTGGGCAGAACTGCTCGTTTGCCTTGCGATGTAAAATAAATAAACAACAACAACAACAACACCGTGATAATTGATGTTAAGTTTGTTTGGTCTTCTTGGACTTGAAGACAGTGAAAGGTGAAAATTTTGGAGATGTTCTGGAGATATATGGATAAGTTTAAATAGAGTAACAAGAGCTGATACTTGTCTGCGAACGTGCAAGGACTCTAAGTCACAAAGGGTATTTAACTGGAATTTCGTTTCGCATCTATCTACATTGACTTTTTTACGTAGCAAATACTTCCTAGCTACTCTCGCTTGTAAAATATTTAAACGCTCCAGCTCAGCTTTGGTGATGGCATAGGACCAGGCCGAGGTGGCGTGTTCCAGGGCGGGTCTGACAAAACCTTTATATAGAAGTAGAAAGGCTGTGGGGGCAAGATGCCGTCCCATGAAGCATAGCAGATTAACACGACGTTGGAAGATTTTCAGGATGGTCTGAAGGTGGATGGTGTGGGACTGGTCAGGTGTTAAATACACTCCAAGATGCTTTGCAGCTTCAACGATGGTGATAGGTTGGGAAGAGAGCTGGATAGGGTGGTCGTTACTGTTATACTGGCAAAGAACCGGCCATTGCACACGTACGCAAGGAATACCATTTTTAGAGGAAGAACCAACTGAATAGATAGGTGGACCGAATAGGCGTGCAAGAATGAATACCGGGAAGACAACTGTTGAGTCCAAACACTCTTCATTTGTCACATTCCTAGTGTACAGAGTTGTGCTTAAAACAATGTACAGATAGGTAAGCATTACTGACATACTCTAAAGTGGACTGAATGATAGACAAGTAGAATGTTCGCTTTGCATCGTTTGTTTTAAATTTCTATGGCCATGTTGGAAGCAGCAACTTTAGCTAACACAGATTTACACAACTTCTGAACCTGTGGCTGGATGGTGAGATGGCCATCTATCACTAAACCAAGGTATTTGGCAGTGCTCGTAGGGGTCTATCACTAAATCAACTTCACTAATATTATTAAGGTATTTGGAAGTGCTCGTAGGTGTAAGAGCCTTCCTTGCAGGCCAAGGGTCTTGGCAACTGCACTGGTGGCAGGCGTGGCCGCTGCAGAATGAGAAAATGGGTCTTATCGGGGTTCATGATGAGTCCCTTCCGATCTAAGTCACACACTTAGTAAGTGGAGATCCAGGACAGTAAGATTGTCCTGGAGGTCCTGCAACATACATGTACGTTTACTTGTAGCAGGAATGTCCAGTCCGATGATTTTAATCATAAAGAAGGCAGTGTCATCGGAATAGAGTTGTGATACGCTATGCTTGAGAATTTCCGGCACCTTGCGATGCTCGGGAACTGTGTACTGCAGGCATCTGGATGTGGGTAGAGTTTTGATAGAATGGTGGGGCTGGGAGTGGGATGGGGTGAATGTTGTGACATTGAGAGCCTTGTGCCGTTGTGGATGAAGTGTAAACGTACATGGATGTACATGTATGTACTTGAACAACTATGGCAGCGAAACGTAGCAGTGATTATGAAGACAGTGAGGATGGCGTAGCTAGCATGATAGGGTTGGCACATTGAAAACGACTTACAAGATATTGCCGCAGATGTGGTTCAAGAGGTTCTTGTAGTTTGTGCAGACAGGAGAATCGGCGTTGGCAGACAATGCATCCAACTGGCCAACCATAGCGCCAGGAGGTAGATTATTGGCAAGGTACTCAGCATACGCTTTCAAAGCAAGTATTTCATTTTGTGAATCTTCTTGAGCACGTGCTTGCCATGGCACAGCATTAATGGCAGCCACACACATCATCAGAGTGATGAAGAGGACTTGGACGAACTTCATCTTGACGGATACGAGGAGAAAGACTTGTGCGAGGAAAATGCTGGCTATGACTGAATCACCATGATCGGATGCGGCAATCTGAGGTCGTCGTGGAGTTGCGAGTCGCGGTTGGGGGTCACAATGTTAGGTTTCGGCACGTTGGTATACGTCCAATCATGAACCAGTCCAAAACTACGGCTGTTATGCCATGGCTGGAGGTGGGATCGGATCGGAAAGCATTCGGTTGTGGTGAACAGGTACATTGCTCGCTAGGCTGTGCGAGCGGAGCCAGATACCAAGTCCGGCGCAGCGACTATATCATGTACCGGTATCATGTACCGGTATCATGTACCGGTATCATGTACCGGTACTAGTATATATTTAAAATACAAAATCTACACATACATGTATCATGATGTATGTGCATGTGATTCTATATTGGGTGTCCAAACACAAGGCAATAACCTTCGTTTTGGTCTACTGTGTTGCTTTCCTTTGTGTGGTACGCTCTGCCCTATATCTTGTTTTGTAGGTTGGGCATAGAGCACTGTTAGCAGCCAGGACCCCTAACACTTTGCAATTTTGGGTGTACAAAAAATGTCATGTATGTGCAATCACCTACCCGTGCCTGACAGTATACATCGATCAAAACTGTTGGCACAATGACGAGTAGAGGGATGGTTCTGTGATTTTAGTCTGTCACCTGTTTTTTTTTTTTTAGGACAGTCACGTCCTTCATACGCAGCACGTGTTTACTTCCTCCATGCCTTTGCCAGACAATTGTCGAATGGAAGTGCGAACAACCACCAAAAGCCTGTACGTAGTGTGTTTTCGGCGGCCCCCACCTAGACCTTTCGTAAATCTATAAAGTGAAGAAGACATTGGCAATGCCGACACATGCTCAGAGGCTTAGGCGGTGGTTATAAGCGGTACACGACTTTAAAATTACGTGAAGTGTTGAAAAAACAAGTGACAGAGACAATAATGCGTGAGCATATTCAGGGAAGTGACAATGAAGGGAAGTATAGGGGACAGATACACGCAGGAAACCTCATAGAGTTTCAAGAAAGTAGCAACACTAGCATCTCATTACAACGCTAGATCGAGTGTCGACGACGTGAGCAGATAGGCGACCAGACGAGGATAGCGTAAAGATGTTTCAATCTACAGCGTCAGGCATTCCGATCTTGGGATGAAGACGTTGGGGTCGGAAATTCCCAATGTTACATCATAGAAGCTGCAGTGATACGGGAGAACACAGCAACAAGATTGGCATTATGTTCCATCAAGGAGTGGCGGAGACCGCGAAGTTTAAAGAGTGAATGTGTGTGCGTGTGTGTGTGTGTGTGTGTGTGTGTGTGTGTGTGTGAGTGTGAGTGTGTGTGTGTGTGTGTGTGTGTGTGTGTGTGTGTGTGTGTGTGTGTGTGTGTGTATGTGTGTGTGTGTATGGGGAGGCTCCGGACCATTTTTCTCGAGCAGTGAGAATCCATTGAACTCCGCCGCGACAGGTATGACGCCGTTATTCAAGATCAAATGCAGGCTCCAGGCCACTAGTAATGGACACAGCGCTTGACACGTTGGAGATCGATCGTTTGAGAACTTACTTCCAATGAACAAATCCATAGGTAGGGCTGACATGAGCAGACGTCACTGGGATGCACTGGAGGGTGGTGAACGTTGCCTGATAGGCTGTTGTAAGAATAGAGGCAAGACAGAACAAGAGAAATAAGGAAAGCCAGAGAATGAGAGATGGGAGGAGAAACATTGAGGGCAGAAAAGGGTGGGACATGGAGCGTACATCACCGTCAGCACCGAGAGATGTAATTATCGCCCGTTTGTGCCCCTACTTTTTGAATTGAATAACTTCACTCATCAGCTACATCAACATAACAAATTAAGACTCTCTGTATGATATTATACTGGTGATGAGTGGTTGTAGTCGTTCAAGGTCTCGGAACGTCAGAGTGTGCATGGCAACACCAGCACATACAGAATTGAACATCATCTTTCACTGGTGACTCCAAGGAATACAAGTTCATTGACAGAAATACACCTGTCCTCAGTGCTTACGTCCTTCCACGGTCCTCTCGCCACCAAAGAGATCCACAGCTACGCTGCCTCCAGGAACACTGGAGCTACCGATGTAGAGCTCGGACTCGAAGCGAGCACCAGTGACCACCTCAATGGGTTGGAAGGGCTCGGTTAGTGCCTCCTTGGTGCACACACGAGTGTTCAAATTGAAGCGGTACCTGATTTTCTGTTGAACACAAGGGTGGACAAAGTGAACCAAAATGTGTCTGTGTCTTGTATACATGTAGACTCACATGAATCTACAAGATGTGCAACATCTAGAATACAAAGTTGTCCTATTATCAGGGTCCCTACATCTCAAAGGTGCCGCTTTGGGCTGTAGTAGCTAATAAAGTACTTGTATCCACCAATACTTGCACGATTATACGGTAAGCGCATCCTTCAAGTTTCAGTCGGGCTGTAGTACAGACTGAGAGCTTACTGCATTCCAAAATTCAACAAAACTCATCAGACTTGCCGTTGGAATCCGGCTTGAACGAGTGCAAGGATTTGAATGTTCACTCCTTCTTTTAGCAACTACCCCATTATTCAAACTTTCTGTCTCACCCCCATCAAGAGCATACATGTAGCATGGGCGAAGCCATTAGCTTCCCGGAGCCATTGTTGAGACTGTATTGTAGAGATATTTGAAAGGACATTATCGCCTGGAATGCAAGGCATGATGGAGCCGCAAGGAACAGAACGCCATTACAGTACGGCTGGGTTAAGTGCTGAGGCAAATCTGCCCACACGCTGAGCGGCTCTATGACTATGGCAACAAGACAGTGGACAGCTCGAAGGCAGTAAAAGACCAGCCCTCGTAGAGCCGAAACGATCGAATACTGACTGGCTTCTGATGAAACTGAGTGATTGATTGTGTGTCCCTCCACCCCTTGAGCTTCGTGCATTTTTTTTAAAGCAGCTATCAGGGGCTACAGTAACTTGAAATGGCAACGAAATTGCAACTGCTCGTTCTTCTGTAGGTGCACTCCTGGAGTCCACTCTTTACCTTCTGCAAAATTAATAAATTATCTATGGACGGTGAATGCACCTCACATGGTAACTGTGCTTGTAGATCTTCGCAAATTACAGTATGCACAGCAAACAGATACATTGTATGTACTTTTTATGTATTTTAATATATTATTTCTCTAGGGCAGTCCCCACAGACCTATGGTCTCCTTACGGGGTACCCTAGCCAATAATAATAATAGGAATTGTACATCAAATACAATGAGTGGTTTACCTCTTTGTGCAGGTAGAGCTCATCATATCGGACCGTGGTGTTGCCACCGTTCAGCTCCTCAATGATGCGGAATCGCTCACCTAGCTTGTCGTAGCTGATCTTGCCGAAGCGCTCAAATCGGCGAGAGGGTACCACCTCAAACACACGTCCCTCCCACACGTTTGGAGCCTCTACAACACAAGCGGAATGCAAACCACTATCAAACACGAAGGCAGATTGATAGGAATTGCGTTCATTTAACCTAGCTAGGCCATCTCGCTACATTCTCATTCAAGATAATAATGTACATGTGCAGTATAACGAAACAGCATGCAATGTTATAGCATAGAAAGTGTGTGGTACATGTACTCCCTAAGTGGGAGTTCGCGCATTGCCTGCCAACTTGACGTGGCGCTTGGCTGACTGACGACTGCAATTTTTCAATACTGCGTAACACATTTCCGAACTAAGATTTACAGAACGAGACTCTAGAATAGTACGTATGAACGTTCGGAAATTCAAGCCATTAGGGGTATAACACTACACCGACACAAGGTGAAATCAGTACCAGTACCAGTGTCAGTGCAAGGGAGTTTTATTTTTTATTTTTTTATTTTATACTATGTGTGATGGGGATTACATGGGAATTACAAGTAAATGACAGCAATTATGAGGAGGTATACATGTATGATGTTAGACCTGTATTTGTATTATGGATTCTCCACGGGCCTTAGCCTAAATCGAGGGAGTCGCCGTCCGATCTGATGGTGGTACAGAGGTATTTACACACAAGTAAATGACAGAAATTATGAGGAGGTATAATGATAGATCTGATGGTGTTACAGAGGTATTTACACACAAATCCGTTGATCCCCGTTCGAGCTGAGTACATAGCAGACTCAGCGGAGGACGTTCAGGTTGGTTGTAACTCTGAGTGTCATACCGCTAGGCAATCATCAGATAACTGAGGTACATTGTATTTACACACTATTGACTTGATCAGGATATGGGCCTATGATGTACTTGTACTAATCTTCATTCATGATTTCGCAAAAGCCATAGCCCATGGGGGATCCTATGTGACACATTGTATTAGACGCTAACAGTGGGCATAGCATACTGCTTGATAACGACCAGCGAGCTGAGCATGTGGCGGGAAAGGGAGGAGAGGGAAAGTCAGTGTAGCAGACCAGCCGCGTAGCGGATATCACCAAACATGAGGAATCAGCAGTCACCAGAGGGCAGAGGCATGAGAATGTCACCTGCTAAGGTCAAGTCTGTGACTTTGAAGCCCCATTTCTGACACTTCACACTGCAAGGCACCATTTTAGCATAACATTATGGAGGGTGACAAACTCACAAATACGCTCGGATTCTAGACATCATCATGCTAACAGTTACAACTCAGTGGCTTCGTCACTAGACTACTTATATGATTCAAGTTCGGTGAGGATGTTAGTTGTGTATTGGGCAGACAGAGTTGAATTTCAATTACAACGAGTTCTACTAAATCTAAAGTTGTCTTCGAAAAGTGCACAATTCACGGGCGAAGAAGAGCAGACACCATTGCTACATGGCTGCAATATGCTTAGCCCGATACCAGTCACAGTTCTGATTGTTTTATGAGGAAGCCAGGATTTGAAGTGGCCCATACACGCATGCAAGGCTACACGTAGTAACGAGTGTTACGTGACTGTGATGTGCAGTGTGTACCTCATTCAGACTGGCGTTACTTACCACATGGCTCGGGCACCTGGCTGCGGGCAACGACCACCAACAGGGCAACAACAAGAAGGACCTTCATCGTTCCGCAGACTTCGAACTTGGAGCACGACTTGAGCAAATGCAACTACTTCCAATGACGATCACCTGCGAACTGCCTCCTTGCCACTCATGTGTGCCTAAATACAGCTGAATTTGGTTGTAAATACATGTACGGGTATAGCGCCTGTGTGTTGGGAGCCGCCCATCACCCCATCACATTTCTCCTGTTTGCTTTCGCATGCGCGACATGTTAGACTGGCCCTTTGCGCTATTGCACTGTCTGAATCTGGCAGCAAACATGCTGACTGCTGCCTGAGATTGCAATGGATTTGACGCAACGATCGACAACTCTGGAAGCTGACCATCACGTGGTACATTGTGCAGGTGAACCACGTGTCGACAAAGATCTTGCGCTGCGTGTGATTTGAGATTGCACATGCAGTATGGCCGCGTCCCCAGTGTTGACGTTGTGTTGACTGAATAGTACTACTGTGTTGTCATTGTGCAGACCACACCTGCTGTCGTGCACCTAGCTGAGCAGGTGAATCACCCTCGCTGCAGTGTACGTGACTCCAAGCCAGGCAAATTGAACTTTCCTATGCCAACAGTTTTGAGTGGAATTGGCAAGTCAACCTAATAGTCTGAGATGGGACTGCATTCTAGCAACGTCAACGTCCCGTGCAAGCAGCATCACGGGACACCAGCAATAGCAGCAGCAGTGAACGGGCTATTGTCCCAGTGTGACAATGGTGACCCCATGCAGCGAGTTAGCCTGGGCATGGCATGGCTAGGCTGAGCATAATGTACAATGAGTATTGTAGTATTGTAGGAGGAAACACGGAAGTACATGTACAATCAAGAGTAGGGGGGGTTATGTACTCTTGGTACAATGTATGACTATAATTCCGGTTAGTGTGTAGGTGTGCAAATGATGAGACTGATGACGCCAGTGTGTGCTCTTGCCGTCTGGAGCGATCTACTACGAAATCCGGCGTTCTTGATCCAGGCAGCACCGAGCAGTTTGCATCCCCAGACATGCAATCACTGGTCATTTTCCCGGTGCTTGGCACGGATTTACTGACCAGAGTCCGGATCTTCTTCCAAGAGAGCAAGATCCTCAAGAAGGGAAGAAGGGCGTTCAGCATGCTTAGAACTTCCCTCCACACCCTGCACTGAACACTGTGGTTTCGCAGGCCGCATTGTACAAGGCCTATTCCTTTTGTATGTACACCACACTATCACTCCTTCCACTCCCTGTAGCCTTGTATAGGTTTCCCAAGGCCCCACAACCTAGTAGTTATATACATGACATGTACATAAGATGTATATTCATGTACAGGACAACTAGGGCGATCAAGGCTTGTAAGTTGTTTGTCGCTACGTCCATTATGCATGTTTGTGCTCATGTACTCTTAGATCTAACTTATTCTGAGCATGCCACAGCACTGCAAGTCCTGTAGATGTAAGATCTACATGACCGTACAATGTACAAGTAGATGTAGATCTATCATGTGAGTATGATTGTGCTGTAGACTACACAGTACACTGCACGACAGCAGTGTGTCTACATCCTGGCAATAGCCTCAACACATCGCCATTACAGGAATGCATTACTGCACGCACCGATAACTGAAAGTCCGGGCTTTCACGACTCCGTGGTCGCAGTCCATGCATGCAAACCCGCAGGCTCAGTGCCACCGCCATTACTCTCAGTCTCTCCCCTTCACATGTCTCAAACCGCCAAGTCTTACGCTGTCATGTCTTGCGAAGGAGACGGTTGTGAGTAAGTGGACAGATGACACATTAGCTTTATCGGTATTGGTTTGCAAGATTGTGCCTGGTCTAATCACCATGATCACCATGCACTGTATTCCAGCGCACAGGGCTGAGAATATGAAGGTCATATTGCACGTATGAAATTCTCGAGAAGGGGGCAAACTCTTGATTCAATGGAAAGCGAAAATGCATTGTTCGGCACGTGAAATGTGCTTCAATGCACATCGCCTGGAGTTCGTCGAGGAACAACCTACCACCCTACACAATTCAGAAAATATAATTGTGCCTGTACATGTGTTAAAGTCGTTCCAATGTATCGGGTAGTAACATGCTCTTGAATGCTTTATAAGCACTGAGTAAAATGAACTCCATGACCACATTCTCCAAACTAGCAACGTTATTCCTACCCCCATTGTCTCAGAAGGTATCGATCTCCGAATATTCGAACACATGCCCTTGCAGTATCCTATACCAACACCGACCCAATGCTACTAGTACTACTCAAGGCCGTAGGTGACCTACACCGCCAACGAAGGGGATAAATCACCCGTCTTCCATCTCCTGTGCTGCATTTCCGTATTCACCGCCAGCGGGGTAGGTCTATGACTTCCCTTGCGTTTCTCGCTTTTCCCCAAACCCCTTGCGGCAAGATCTAACCGAGTCTTTCTTGCTTGTGTTGTAGACAGTAGGTTGTGATCAACTGGTTACCAATACCAGCACTGCTGTGCTGCGTGGCATGGTATATCTGCATGTATATTACTATGTTTTGCATATCGCCATGATCAGCTGAGGTACTGCACCGGCACATGCATTGGACCGCTGTCGTGTGCTACTCTCTCCCGTGGGTCATTGGACTGTTGCCACGGTGGGCTGACTTGCCCACAAAGCAGGCAACAACGCTGGTACAAAGGTCAGCACAGATCATCTGCATGACTCAGACCATGGACTTCGACAAACACTCGACCTTTCCGATGCAACCGATCTTGGAGGATGAGTTCGGGCCGTTTTCGGACGACGATGCATTTGCTTCACGGCGTCCGTCGCTTCTCGATCCATCCAGCTCCTCGGACGGAAGTGGATCTCAGTGGTTGAGCGACTTTGGTGTGTTTGGAGGTCTGAAGTCGCCGGAGAGCAACTGGGAGCTAGTGGTCGACAATATCACCCTGAAAATTCCCGCCTCTAAAGGTTCCTTTCTTGGACACTTTGCTTCTCGCATTTGGTCCACTATTTCTGGTCGCACGGGTAAAGGAAGCAGCCACTCCAGTAGAATATGGAATGTGTCCCAGGATTCAAGTAACCACGAAGATTCAATTCAAGGTAGCAAAACATCGCTGGAACTACATAGTCACGTTACAAATATCTTGCCAGAAGTTCCTGCGCAGGAGGCGATGCAAGCGGGCGACGATGGCAACCAGCTAACGATGAAAGATTATCTGTCGCTCGATGACCTGGAGACCAACAGCGGCGGCGGTAGCAGCAGCAGCAGCGAAGCAGACATGGCGGAGAGGGATGCGCTGTACTCCGTGGATGATTATCTGCGCATGGAGAAGCGTGGTGATGACTCGGATTGGCGAGAGGTCGTTCGAGGTTTATCCTTCAAGCTACGACCAGGGAAGCTGGTGGCCATTCTCGGAGCATCCGGTTAGTTAGAGCACATCGCCGTGTTTTGTGATTGTGTTTGTATCTGGGAGTGTGACTTGCTTGGGGCAGTGCCTGTACGTGTTCTGTGTTACTAACAAGAACATGGGCACAGCGTGTCGTGTGGAGGTCGTTCAGTTCGGCGTACCTTGAAATGTGTGGTCTTCCGTCTGGTCATCTCTCTGTCATGTTATCCAGGAATAGCCAAAGGGTTGTTTGGTACTGTAGTTTGTAGATTATATTGTATACTGTATGTGGCGGCCCTGTGAATGACAAGTGACGCTTTTTGAATTTTTTGTATGGTCGTGGTGAGCCCTGAAGTTGGCTTACTGTGGTTGGGGTGGTTGTGAGTCCATGGCCTTGTCAAGTAAGTTGGGCTAAACCTGTGGCATGTCATTAGATGGGACCATTGCCAGCCCACTGTCATTTTTATGTCACTGGAAGGATGGCATACATGATGTACGCCAGCACTGTGGTCTGAGATTTTCGTGTCAGTTTCAGCTACAGTGTACACATCCATGACTAGATTTGCTACAACTGGAAACTAGCCCTAGCTAGCCCATAGATCCATGAGGATTGAAAATTACGACTTTTTACGACAGCATTGACCCCGTACGTGTGCAGCATTTCAGGCTGCAACCTCACAATATTGGACATACATGTACATACATATTCGTAGTGGCAGATTCAAGGGGAGGGGGGGGGGGGGGCAGGGGTCTGGTAGCCTTCATTCAAAGACCGCTCACGGTTTGCCCCATGAGTGATGACCGTTTGTCTGTGAGTGCGGATTGAAAAGCCACAACGCAAAGATGTTACTGGAAATGTATGAATGTGAGAAACAAACACTAAAATGCATTATATATATGACAGTGCAGAGACAATGATGATGTAGATGACATGGGTGAATCATTTGGGTTTTCAAACTGGCTGGAGCAGTGGCCTTCCAAACATGTGGTCATGAGTTTGGTTTCCAGCTTGTCCGAAGATGTATTGCTGATACCACTCCCGGAAGACCCATCTGGGAATGAGTACCTGACTTCGCTGGGGAGATGAAGACAGCTACGGAGAGGAGATGCGCATAACAGTCAATATGTCAAGCTCTTTGAAGCAAGCAAGAGGTCTCTAATGCCTCCTGTCCCAATGGTCACAATTGATTGTGGACTGCTAGATGAGGCAGCCCAGTGAGGGAAAGCCACTTGCCTTTGTATGGTGTTGAACTGTTCATTCTTCATTGTTGCAGGCTCTGGTAAGACATCACTTCTGGACATCCTGGCTGGACGAACACCGCCACAGTACAAAGTGCAAGGGCAGCTGAGCATCAATGGAAGGAGTATTGCACACCGCTCCAGGGCACTCAAACAAGCTGTTGGATACGTTAAACAGGTGTGTAAGAACCACAGATAAGAAGTACAATCAACTTCGCTAATAACGACTTTGGATATAACGACAATTCGCGAATAACGACAGAATTTTCATGCCCAGAGCAAAGTCCCATCCAACTGTAATACATAATTATAATGAGACTTCGGGTATAACGACACTTTGCGAATAAGGACACTTTTCTGATGCCACGCCGAGTGCCGTTATACGCGAAGTTGACTGTACATCTATGAACAGAATGTTTTTACATTTTAGCCCCACATGTGAAGATTTCCTTGGAGACAAGAATGCAATTATACTTCTAAGTGTAATTACATGTGAAGATGTTCATATCTTTATAATAACAGCATCTTCAGGAATCCCCATCCAAGATGATGAAAGACAAGAAAGCTTGTATCTGGCAGCCAACATCAAAGGACTCAGATTGCCATCAAAATACAGTATACCGGATTGTCATAGTCATTTCATAGCAGTTTTTAATATCATCTAGAACCATGTGCGACATGCACAAACAGGGCTGTAGACATCTAACTTCTAGCCATGTGTTGTCTGCCATGCTCTAGGCCAACTTTCCCCCCAAGGAACACCATCTGCACACTTAGTTGAGGGGAGGACACACTCAAGGCCTGTACACTATAAAAGTGGAGCATGTAGCATATCGCCGTGTGTTGTTGTGTCCTATGGCTTTCTTTGCAGATTGTTCACCTTCTTCCCAGCTTGACAGTCGTGGAGACACTCCAGTTCGCCTCACGACTGAGACTGTCCGTCAGCATGAGCAAAGAAGACAGAAGAAAGCGGGTATGCCATGTACTTCAAAGCACCATAAAAGTCCTCACAAACGTACCTGCCCTACCTAAAGATCCCCTTCATCCTTTTGACCACCCTTTTCCTGCAAGTGAAATAATGATAAACTCATGCCATAAATACTGCAATGTTGCGAGTAGAGTCCGGAATTTTTTTCCTGTAGAAGCCGGTGTCAGAGCTAGGATTCTATTTTAAAAGTAAGACTTGTGTTCAAACCAAGTATTTCAAAGTATATCAACATTGAAACCGGGCTTTTGTGCCGACAGAACATCTTGAAAATAAGGCTTGAAATCACAACAGGCTCTTTTTACAAGACATTACAGACGGAATCTTGACTACATTGCAGTTTGCAAACTGTGTGTATGCTGTGTGCGCTTTTTCAGGTTCACGATGTGATCCAGATGGTGGGTCTAAGCTCATGCACACACCGTACGGTAGGTGGTAGCGAGAACAAGAGTCTCTCTGGTGGACAGCAGAGACTACTGGCCATTGCTCTGCAGCTGCTTCACCAACCGGGTACGACATCTACACAAATAAAATAACTCATATACTAAATCAGGCACTCACTCACACACACCCTCACTCACTCACCAACTCATGTACTCTCTTACTCACGCATTCACTCACGCACGCACGCCCTCACTCACTCACGCCCTCACTCACTCACTCACTGTACTTGTCTACTTCCATACTTAGCACCTGGCCATTGGGATTAGTACAGATAGTGTGGACCTGAATGCTCTCCAGCACAGACTTCAATTTATATTCAATCCCCCCCAAACATTCTTGGATAATCCTCACCCCCTCCCCCCGGTCCCATCAGCGAACCCATTGCAGTGATCACCAATGTGCTTCTGGACGTGATGTTTGTGACTGTACAGGTATACTGGTGTTAGATGAGCCAACGTCAGGCTTGGACGCCAGCAGTGCTGAACACATCTGTAGCACACTGCACCGGGCATGTGTGCACCAATCCAAAGCCGTGGTGATGTCCATTCACCAGCCCGGTCTTGAGATCGCACGATACTTTGACCATGTGTTGATCATGTCGGAGGGCTCTGCTGTGTACAATGGACCGTCACGGATGCTGATATCATATTTTGAGTGGCTCGGATACCCATTACCAGAGTACAGCAGTCCGTATGATTACTATGGTAGGTCTAACGCTGTGGTAGGTCTAACACTATGGTAGGTCCAACTCTATGGTAGGTCTAACACTATGGTTGGTCTGACACTATGGTAGGTCCAACTCTATGGTAGATCTAACACTATGGTTGGTCTGACACTATGGTAGGTCTAACACTATGGTAGGTCCAACTCTATGGTAGGTCTAACACTATGGTTGGTCTGACACTATGGTAGGTCTAACAGTATGGTAGGTCCAACTCTATGGTAGGTCTAACACTATGGTAGGTCTGACACTATGGTAGGTCCAACAGTATGGTAGATCCAACTCTATGGTAGGTCTGACACCATGGTAGGTCCAACTCCATAGTAGGTCTAACAATGTGGTAGGTCCAACTCTATGGTAGGTCTAACACTACGGCACTATGGTATGTCTTGTACTACGGTAGCATTGCTGTACCATGGGCCATCAAAAATGGGGAAAATATTCTGTATGAAGAAGACGGTTGTACTCAACCAAGGATAAGCAGCGCACAACTCACTCCTATAATTTAGCAAACACATCTCCCCTAGAAAAGATGGGGAAAGCAGAACAGCTGAGAACATTCCTTGCCGTGGGTGCTCTAGCTTGCATGCAGAATTAACGGCATGCGTCAAAGAGCCGAATGGCTCTCCTAGCCTACACACTTGCAAACCAATCAGTGCAATGTCCCTTTGCGTTACATGCAGCTGACCTAGCAACACCTGATAGCCGCACGGATGAGAGAGACGAGGAGACCCGTGAGCGCATTGCTCAGCTTCTGGCAGCACAGCAAGCCTATGCAAAGGTGAGCCACTGAACAGTTTGCGTTGGACATAGCAATGCTGAGTAACACATTAGATACACTGTGTGCTGATATAATATCTACAGTGCATTTCAAAACTATAGACGCGTAGGGTTTTTGAAATATTTCAAATTTGGTTGGAACTTTTTGAGAATAGTTTTCGGAATATTGCTCAGGATCGCTTCACAATTACTCTCATATAGTTTCTAAAGGATTGGATAACAGACGCCCAATTTGGAAAAATTTATGCACAAAGTGATCACAGATTTTATGTGGTATAGATGCTGGCATAACGGTTTTTGCCTAGGTACGCGTCTATAGTTTTGAAATGGACTGTACAGTGAAATTTCCGTGTGACGCACCTCCAAGAGCCATCATTGAAAAATCTGTATTCTGTAGCCGAAATATAGTAAAGCGAATATCTAATCCGACTGGTGTTTCATACAGCAGCGTTCGTCAATACTTTGCTTTCTATAATTGTACTACATTCTACTAAAGTTTCACTGGCTGCATGACCTGACTTTTTTTAAAGGTCAGGTCATGCAGAAGGTTTTAGGACAGATTGTGGTGGGACCACACGTACCACTGATATGGTGTATTAGTAGAACGACTGTACTACTTGAAGTAAACATGAAGTATTTCGTGGGAATTGTTGGCCTCTGTTCCAGACCATGTTGATTTTTTAAAAGTCTTCACCGAATTCATGTCGAGTCCATCAATACTGGCATCATCTTTCACAAATTTCAATTTGTCACGGCGTCACGAGCCTGCTGCACTGGCGGTTGACCATACCCGCTTCATTATGACTGTATCATTGTACTGCAATGTTCAATATTTTTCAGCAACACATACACATTAAAAGCTATCCAGTGGCCCCTATTAAGGCCGCTGCTGCGAGGTTAGCTATCAATATCTAGTGCTTTTGTTCTCCTTTTCTGATATTGTCTCACCACAGGGGCTCTGGCTACTTCCTGGAGAACTGGATATTGCGCCAAAGATACCTTCCTTCGTGATGCAGTACCCGATAACCAACTTCAGAGTACCGTCAAGAGAAGATGTGCGGCCTCGGATACAGCGGCGACACTCCAATTTCACGTTACTGTCTGCAATGTCTGAGAAATCAATTCTGCCCGGAGAGCCTGACCAGCTGAACTGCAGTGGGCTGCTGAAATTCTGGATTCTTCTTGGGTAGGCTTGCTGTTATATCTACGATTCGTTGCAATGACTGTTGCGATGACTTTCATTAAATTTTATATCTTGGTCAACAGTCATAACATAGTGTGATTTGACAAACGGTGCAGTTTTATCTCTATGGAGAAAAGGGTCTTTTGCATTGACAATGAGCTACTCCAAGTAACATAATTATAATTATTGTGCAGATTAGTGGTAACAGCACTCTGAACTGAACTCGGTACTTCCATGCCTTCTCGTTTCTTTGTCAGACGGTGTATGAAAGATGAAGTGCGTGGATACCGGGATTTCCTGACAAGAATGCTCCAAGCTGTCATTCTCTCCGCTCTTCTCGGAATGGTGTTCTTCCAGTTGGGGACAGGAGCTGCGGACGTGCAAAATCGCAAAGCTCTCCTCTTCATCTCACTGTCTCTGTATCCATTCATGAGTGTCTTTGAGACAATAGCAAAAGGTGAGTAAGCTTTTCGAGAAATTTTCCATTGATTCCGGCGTGGAAGCTATATCCAATTTGATCGGTGATTCTTTGAGGCCAATGAAGTAAACTCCCTTTCTTCTTGCCAAGAATGAACCAGCACTGTTTCTTGGCTTGGCTTCCACCATGAACTCAAGCTGTCTAGCCTCCGTGGCAGTCAAAACACAATAGGATGGCATTGTATCTTATCTACTTTCCTGCACATCTCCTTTCCAATTTGGCCGTTCTGCAGTGTCCAGCCAGCAAGCTCTAATCCAGCATGACATCAGAGAAGGTCTCCACACCTACGCTCAGTACATTGCAGCTGGTGTAAGTTTGCAACTACATGTATGCGCACGACTTACACAAGGTCATATACCAGTGCAGTTTTCTCTGTAAATTATTGCAATGTGGCACACGATTGATGGGACGATTCCTTTGCAGTTGCATTCGCATCCAGTAGCGCTGTCCAGTCCCTTCCACTCCGTCTTCTGACTTGACTCATTAATTGTGGCCCTTCTGGCTTCCAACGCCTCTCTGGGCATCTTTGACGGCTTTCGAGGTGGCCTACTCTGCTTTGTTACATTTTCCTTTGCTGGACAATGCACCGTCACCGTGCCCAGAAAAGAGTGGTAAGATGAAGATGGGCACTCACAAGGCAGCACCTGAGACAGGGACGTTGACGATTCAACCACTGACTCGGCAATACGCTTAGATTGGTGGCCCCGACGTGGACGGGTATCATGTGCACCAGAGTGCATGCTGGTGGATGTGTGCGCCCCGGTGTTGAGCCATTCGCGGAAGCAGGGTAGGCCACCTTAGAAGCCTCCGGATTTATCAACAGACGCTGGAAACCGGAAGAGTCATGAGGAGTCAAGTAAGAAGACGGAGAGGAGGGAACTTCCAGACAGCGACATTGGATGTAACAACCACTGCTGAAATGAGCAGACGGGGAAGACCACTGGGGAAGGTGAATGTGAGCTCATCCGCAAAGGAATCACCCCACGACAAAAGGGTCACTAGGAGCCAGGCTCATACTCGTCAGAGTAATGGAAGAGCCTAACGAGTAACTGAGTTGTCAGCAGATGGGGAGAACACAACCACACGGATGCATCGTGTATCAGGCGCCACTTGTCAATCAATGTTAGTTGTTGCGAGATGTATGAAGATAATGTTTTGTCCATCAGACCAGATGTAATTGAATCTTGCTGTTTTGGAAGCATTGTACATCGGAAAGTTGTCCCCTGAGCTGTGTGTTCAAAAAGAACTCGGAGTAAAATGTCTAATTCCGCACTTGTTCACCTTCTTTGTTTCAGACAATTTCACACGTGCCTGCTAGTGTGTTGCTCTGCGCGGTATTCGCCATTCCACAACGACTTATGGCATCACAGAGCTCAGCGATGCTGGCCTGGGTGGCATACATCATGTTGCTGTTGCTCCACTTGCTTACCTCACAAATGATGGCCCTGAGCACCTTGGTATTCACTCAGTCCCCCGAGTATGCAGCTTTGATAGCCAACCTTATCTACACAGGTGAGCGAGTGAATGTGTGTGTGTGTGTGTGTGTGTGTGTGTATGTGTGTGTGTGTGTGTGCGCGCGCGCGTGCGTGCGTGCGCATGTGTGTGTGTGCATTTCAAGTGGCTCAGTAAGCACCAGTACAGTCTCCTTGCAACATGCAGCTCAATATCAAAGCAAGAATAGAATGCTGTAAAGAAGTCCAGACTCCCACCAGTCACTCACAGTATCCTATTGTTGCACATTTGTACTGGATTACTTAGTACATGACTGATTGTTTTGACTTGCTGACAAAACTGCATTGGCACATTGGACCAGCATTCACGTTTATAGATGGCAACTATGTGTGTATCCAGGCTGGATAATGGTGTCGGGATACGTCATCAACATCAATGACCTGAGTACTTGGATTAGGTGGATGACATGGACCAGCCCGCTCAGGTAAGAACATTTGTACACGACCCTCCCTTAGCCACCCCCACCCCCCACCATCACCCCACCAACACCACTTGACCTACACACGGACACTGACCAACACTAGTCGCATTACCAGGCTGGCGGCCCACTGGCAGCAGGTATGGAGAGGTTTACAGACTCCCGGTCACGCGCAAGTCATTCGCCTCGATCGCCTGTAGTCCTCCAGTCTGTAGTGAACTGTTGTTGGCAATGCAGTCCATGACATCTACGCCAGTTGAACTAAGCACCCAGAGGAAGAAACTGCCCAGACAACCTAACGAATATGTTACCTTCTCCCACAACAAATACGTAAACTTGTAGGTGGGTTACACGCTAAGTCCGCCACATTATTGGGTGAGGACTCCAATATTCATTATCCACTACACTTTGACTCTACATATTTTCAGCACAACGAAACGTTTGTGATGTTGTCACTCACGTTCACGTTGCTTTTTTGTTACTCACATCCACTCGTAACTGTACCCAACATGCAGGAAGCTGTGTACTGACTCCTCCACCTACTGCTTCTGCATCCTTCTACATGTAGGTATGCATACCAGGGGACTGTTATCACCGAACTGGACGGCGTGATGTTCCAGCACTCCACGTTGAATGTGGGGGGAAATGCTACAGCGACGAGGGCACTGCGACACACGACCAGCGGTTCGCAGCACCTTGCCTCGCTGACGTTCGGCTCCTTGTCACTGAGCCAGTGCAGTGCACTGCTGTGCGCACTCTGGGCATGCTCACTGTGCTCTGTGTTCATCGCTGTGAGAGTGAGACGAACGGCCGTATGACCTAGCCAGACGAGTAACCATGGTTTCTGTGGTGCGGCCTATCAGCATTGACGGACCCGTGAGCAAGTAGATCCGGAGCAAAGCTGATGCCATTCTCTTATGCTTAGAAGTTAGAAGTGCTGAGTTACAGTCAGTGGACCTGAGTGATTACTAGTTTGTAACAAGCATCTTATACCAATCACAGAACATGATATCACTGACCTGACACAACAACAAAAAGCAAAGTGGTTACCAGTAGATCTACATGTGTGTGGAGAAACACGTGTTGTTACGGCACCGTTCTCAACCTTAATTTTGAATCACCAGGCTGTTAGTATCATGTAACTCACAATTCCGGCCCTTGAGCAGCTCCAAAAGTTCCTTTCCTGGAATCCGGCTATGAATTGGCTGTTGTGTGAATGCCATGAGCACTACATCGGCATTGAGAGATGCTGGAAGCGGGTTTTTTTTGTTTTTTTGTTTTTTTTTGTTTTGTTTTTGTTCTCATGCAACTGCAAACCAGTCATGTCAAGGGTCTGGTGCGGCAAACCTCACCACTCATAACCTGATATATAATACCGGTATAGGAGTAGCGAAAATCGGACGGCATTGTACACAGTGAAAATTCAGTAAAAAGTACTCCGGATATAATCAAGAGGCTATGTACATGTACTCTTGATATAACACTATGGGATATGAACTATGAAGCACAAATTTTGAGGACCCATATAGTGCTCTACCAGTTATTTGACCTTGGTTATACAGTGCATTGGTTGTAAAGTAAGGACTTGGCATGGTCCTTTGAGGTACGTTACATTGAAGTTTCCCTATAATGATTACTGTGGAGTACCGGACCAGTGTTCGAGTCTGCCTTGTTCGTTCTGCCAATGTGTCATGCAAGAAATGTCTTCTCCCTGCATAATCGGAACGTTTTTGCAAATTGTCTGTCCATGTGAAAATGGGTTGCCCATCTTGTGTAGCTTTCCACTACGTGGTTCGCGGCTGTAGTTATTATGGTGGGAGATCTGCGCCAAGCCAATGCTGGATTGCTCGGGAGCCTAGATAAGACGCTCTGCAGAGCCTGCGAGCCATTGCCTATGACAGACCCGCATGGCGTGGTCTATGCATGAAGATCTGTGCATTGTGATATTCCGACAGATCCTGAAACAGTCAAACCCAGGAAATAGCACTTTTATTATCACTCGGGCTGCAATATTCATAATTATAGACATATTCATAAATGACATATCTTCAATACCCATGAGCTACATTGTATATACTTGTATTATGATATAATTATCATAATTATATCATCATTCTAGCTCAATTTTTTCCCCTGTCATAGTCCTGTTTATCATGTTCAGCATAAGCGAAGTTTTGAATCATGCTTGCATGGTTGACCCCAACGCGTACATGCAAGTAATAATAATAATAATAATAATAATACCGGACAGTTCTTGTGATGTCACACCACAGAAATAAACACATCAAATTAGTGCTGAAACGAGTACGCCGAGTACTCGAGTACCCGCTCGTTGAGTACTCGACTCGATATCAAAAAAGGACTCGATAAATAAATAAATAAAAAACTTGATAGCGACGTACACATCCGTCGTCCATGTGGCTTTGCAATGAAAATTTGTGTTTATTGAAGGATATTGAATTGCGTAAATGGTGTGCAAAAAATGGGTATGTGGTACTGACATATATGCGCATGATTGCTTATAGAGTACTCGATACTCGACTCGATAGTGACAGTACTCGCTCGATAGCTTATAGAGTACTCGTTTCAGCACTACATCAAATAATACTGACACCCCACAACCCCACAACCCCACAGCAAAGTATAATGAATATCTAAAACCAGATAACAAGATAAAACAGCTGGGCACGTGCAAGGAAAGGCAAGGCAGCAAGCGTGAAGACCGTTTAAGGTTGCTACTACAGACGTAATAAAAAAATGAAGGAAAGTTATAGCGGCGGCCCATATCTCTGTGGCAATGCACACACATCAGACTCACAATCGCGAGTCAATCACGGCTGATAGACTCACGGCTGATAGCTCAGCGGCGTTTGTCACTGTGCTGCTGTTGAATCTTCAGCGCCGAGATAACATTGTTCAGCTCGTTGACCTCAGATCGATTGATGGCATACATGAAGAACAGGAAGGCCACAGCAAAGCTGTTCACCGAACAAATTATCGTCACGCATGTGCACGCCGGGGCAAAGACCAGCATCAGCACCAGCAAGACTAGGGTGATGACCAGGCGGAAAAGACATTTCTGAAGACTGGCCTTCGCATCTCCAACACACTCCACTAGGCAATCACTGGCCAAGGTGAGGATTTTGCCTGGAATGGGAGCTGTAGGAGAGTAAAACAGACACACACACACACACACACACACACACACACACACACACACACACACACACACACACACACACACACACACACATGTATGCACACACGCACACACACACACACACACACACACACACGTGATAAGGAAGATGATGGCAACTAGAAATCACTCTCCCGCATAGTGCAACACACTACAACACTGTGTGCGTTCGATTACGCACTTGAATCGATTCATGAATCGATTCAAGTGCATTCAAGTCGTTCGATTTTCATGTCATGAGCCCTGGAATCGATTCGGAATCCATTCATCCTATTCACATGGGGCGATGTGAACAGCACGAATCGATTCGCGGGCATAATCGAACGCGCTCACTGACTTCTTCTATCCTGTTCCCAGTGTGTGCAACCCTGAGGAGACTTGCCCACCTGAATTCGAGTTTGTGTATACTTTCTGGTTCGCGAAATGGAATGCCAACTCTCGCGTTCTTCATTCGGAAAAGAAGTTGGAACATGGATTGGAGATTTCTGTCAGAATCATGTACAAATTAACTTGGTACTGCATGTTCGCATGCAAGCCTGTCACTGTCATGTAAGCGCACATTCTGCTTGACAATGTGGATTTGCTGAGTTCGACTTTCATTGGAGCGCAAACTCGAACGTGGACTTTCATCTTGCTAAACCAACGTAATCTCTGAGGTACTTCTTATCCGAGCGTACTTCAATACGCGGAACACGCCCGCACTATGAACAATGTTTGCACTGAGCAAGTGTACGTGTGTCTTATCAGAGTACAGGCTAGGATGTGAGTTCACTGTGCAATGCGTACAGTCAGACCTCGCTTAACCGCACACATCTGTTTTCTATAAAAAAATATCCGGATCGGCGAGGGAACCGGATAATCGAACACCTGCTATGTTGGATGCATCGCGTATGCTGTACATCTGTAACCAGCTATTTTCTTCCGGATGGCGAGGGGTCCGGATAGAAGAGGACCGGATAGGCGAGGTCTGACTGTATCAAGCACTGTGGCAGCAACAGAGCCTTCTGCCTACCTGTGCGTACCAATAAACTCGGCAGCATTCACAGCAACACAATACGTGAACAGCAACACAATACGTGAACAGCAAGCCTACCTGGAGAGGCTAGGGCTACCTACCTGAAGCGGCAGAAATTCTTGACTTTGCCGCTGCCGACTGCTCTGGTGGGCTGATCTCGAGACACGCCACCACGCCGTCGTGATCGGAGTAGCAGATGGTGTCGTTCGGGACACGGCACAGGGAAACGTCGCAGCTCAAACACTTGGCGAATGGATCGCTGAACAGAATGTAGTCGATGCGTTTGGGGCCGACGGGATCCTTGCCCGAGTAGACGTTGTCAGACGTAATGCAGGTGAAACCGCCCTCCTCTCCGTCATGTGTTGCCAACCAGGCATCGTGCAGGGGTGTACCCTCCAACAGGACTTTCAAAGACGGCTCAAACGGCATCGTGTTCAGGTCACCAGTGACCAGCTGCGTGGCATCTGGGCGGCGCGTGTTGCGAACAAACTGCATCAGCTGCACCATCTGCGCCATTCGGTGACCGGCATGTGAATCCTTGTTACTCAGATCTTCAGCATAGGCTGCAATAAGCTACATGTGAACATACATTGACATTTAGAAGAACACGTGCACGGTTATACAACCGACAGCTTGGCAGACACTTAGCACTGTGAATTTAATCCTGCACCAAGGTCCCAGCTGTCTATAATACCGTACTGGCAATATATGTTGCCGCAGTGAGGCCATGAAGCGTTACATTGGCACATGTTTGCCGCACGCAGGGCGTTACATGCAAAGTCGCACAGGAGCCGTTACACAGGTTTCTATATTGCCGCAGTCCTTTTTTTGCTATTGCCGCATCACTTTTTTGCTATTGCCGCATCATTTTTTTGCTATTGCCGCATCATTTTTTGCAAACTGCAATGAAAAGATCGCCGCACCCCGCCGGACGCGCGTTACGAACTCAACGAAAATTTGTCGCACTAGCCTGGTCGCGCGTTACGCCGCACCCCCCTGCGTTACGCGTTACGCGGCAACATATATTGCCAGTACGGTATCAACACTTTCAAAGGCAGCTGTACTAGTACGCTGGAGAGAGCAAGGGGAGGGGTGGGGGGTGCGTGCTAGAGCTGATTGGCAGTTAGCTGTAGAACGTCAGTATCGTCGGTCAGTGTCGTGCAACATTATGGCATGAGCTGATTGTCAAGTAACTGGTGGTGTTAGTGGACATTATAGCGTAACTTGTAAAGTCCTTTTCTTTCCCCCATAAACGTACACAGTTATCTTTACTTACATGAGTTGTGTAGACATCCAGTAGGCGGCCATCAGCATCAATACGACAAAGACCAACGCCTTTGCCGCCGTAGAAATCACCCTGGTTCAGCTTCTGGGGATGTCCGTTCGGTGCATAGCTTGCGAACAGCGTGTCGTAGATTGCATAGCGTGAGAGCACCAGCAGTCCAGATCCAATCACACCCCTGAGGAAATACACGTCCATACGTGTCATGAGAAGTCATAGCCATTTCCTTTCATTGTTATAGCTAGGCTTGTATTGCCAGGAGAGGCATGTGCAGCCGAGTCACTTGTACAGTGATACTAAATAAATAAACAAATAAATATCACGGATACGGATACAGGACAGGTCAAAAATCACATTTCCGCTTCCGTGGGACGCCACCACCCCACGACCAGGCGTCAGATGCTGCTCCTAAACAGTGGTTAGGATGGATCAGATCCACCCGCCACAGGCCAAAGGCCGAAATCCCATTTGCCACCTCCATGTTACCCTTGTGCCAGGTCGCACGTTCCCAATTCACTGTGCGACACATGCTACATACAATAGATGATATGCCAAATAACGTGCAACTAGACTTGGGAGGGCATTGCGGAGTAGTTGCATACAAAGTTAAAAGTTGTACAGTTACGTGTGACTTGTGCTCCTCCAGAGCTCAGAGCCTACCGTGTACACATTGTAGTATAATTTGTATGCAACTTGTGTGCAATGCCCTCTCAAGTCTAGTTGCACGTTATTTGGCATATCATCTATTCTATCAGTGAAGTATCAGTCAGTAATGAACATCGCTGCATCATAGTAACCATTCAGACTGAACTGACTCCATGTGAGAATAGTCGAGAGGTGAACAAAAAGACATACAGCACAACAGAGAGCACATTCAACACTACATTGACTACACACACGCATGCACGCACACACACACACACACACACACACCACGCACGCACACACGTACACACACACACACACACCACGCACGCACGCACGTACACACACACACACACACACACACACACACACACTGACCCACTGACCTGGCAAAATACTTTGTGTGTGGGTAGACAGCTCCACACTTTTCCTTGAGATAGTCGTGACCATCTTCACACCAGACCTGCCGCAATGACGATGATGACAACAACAACAACAACAACAGCAACAGCAACAGCAACAGCAACAGCAACAACAACAACAACAACAACAACAACAACAACAACAACAACAACAACAACAACAACAACAGCAGCAGCAGCAGCAGCAAAAGCAATACAATTAGGCAACAAATCCAATTCGAACATGGTATCAAAACAGGAATTGCATCCCAAACATTGTTTCCTATCCATCAACCTGCAAGTTCAATAACGGGTGATTCAAGAGAATTTACTCTCAATTGAGCAGAGGAATAGATTTACCTCCTGCAGAGTCACCACATCGTATTTCTCTTTCAGGAGTAGTTCTGCCAGAGCCTTGAGGCGCTGCGAGCGGTCCTTCGACAATCCAAAGAAAGGTATATTCCTGTGGGAGGAGGGAATGGACAAATATCATCACACATCAGCATGTGCATGAACACCAAAAGCTAAACCAGTGGATAATGAATGGTAACTGACGAAGATGGACTACTGATGTTGAAAACCACACGTTATACAGATTGGGACACTAACATTTACTTGCAGCTGTATCAAGTCACAAATAAGTCAAGGTGCATGATGTGAATGTGCACATGGTCGACATGACTTACTTACTTTGTATGTAAGCATATACAGCACAGGATGTGTGTGTGTGTGTGTGTGTGTCTGTGTGTGTGTGTCTGAGCAGCGGGGCGCCAGTCAGTGCGGGCGGTGTGGGTGGTGGCTGAGAAGCCGCGGTGGCTTGGTCCGGCATGTGTGTGCCTCAACGGTGGATGCCGCAGTGCCACCTGGAACTACCGGAACGTCGGCACCGGTGGAGGGATGTTGTGCCGCGCATTGTGACAGGTGTGGTCGCTGCTTTCGCGGTGTCCGGGGACGGGGAAGGCATCGCTGTTCAAGGGTGGCGCATAGACCAACAGCAGAGGAGCGCTCAGCCTTCCAGCACGTGTGCATATGCGGCAAGCGGATGCGACTACCCGTGCATGTGGAGCGTCATCGAGCGTCGTGTCCTCTCTCTCTCTCTTCTCAAGTTTCCCAGTGATGGGATCACGTGACCCTTTTGCGGCAGTGACTCCACAGGACAGGACTCTGTGTGTGTGTGTGTGTGTGTGTGTGTGTGTGTGTGTGTGTGTGTGTGTACGTATCCTTGTTCACACATCAGCATGCGTGCCATACTTTGTCACATGTGCGTGTGTGTGTGTGTGATGGGGGTGTACATGTTAGGCGCATAATTCAAGTGCGTATCTGCTTGCGGGATTGATACTAGGAATGCTACATTTTAAATGCACTGCCTCCTACAAGACCTGCCAAAAACCTTAAAGCAGCAGGTTGGCAAATGGCTGTAAACACACACACACACACACACACACACACACACACACACACACACACACACACACACGTACATGCACAGACACGCACATGCACACACACACACACACACGTACACGCACAGACACGCACATGCACACACACACACACACACACACACACACACACACACACACACACACACACACACACACACACACAACCTCACGCGTGTGTTCACCGCTATTGAGTCTTTTAAAAAAATTCCAGTATTAACTTACCAAAAATTCAGAGACAGGACTTTTATCTTCATGGTAGACATTCTGCAGCTGGTATCTAAATTATCCACACTACAGCACCCCTGATATGGGAATCCAACGAAAACAATCCGTGCCACGAAGCGTGGAGAAACTTCGACTAAATAAGGCACCACGACTAGCAAAATTCAGGAATTGTATTTCTAATTTTAGAGTCGCCAGATTTGTTCCAGTCAACTTCACGCTCTGAGTAGCACCCACATGTTCACAGAGCAAACAACCCAGACCTGCTGAACTTGTTGCATATGACAATCAACTACATCATTATGGTGATCGACGTGAAGGAATACATCTCAGTCTTTACCTTTTCAAGTAAAACCAAGAGTACGTTTTTGTACTCTTGGTAAAACTAATAGTAATAATCTGGTAACCAGGGAGTCGTAAAATACCGGTATTTTACGACTCCCTGCTGGTAACTACAATAATAATGATTATGTACTTAATTAAGTCTTTGAAAATTCAAAAGCCACACCTCGACGTTTCTGCATGCGAGATGTGTTCACCGTGCGACCATTTGGCGACATCCATTTCGGCGCTCATCGAATGCGCGGGGATCCGGTGGACTGTCTTTCTGCTCTTATCCGTAGATCTACTGTCTGTAGGCTGCCAGTAGATCTGGATCCTTGACTTGTTGGAGTCTGAGTCTGAGCATTGCCAGTACAGAAGCAGGGAGTCGTAAAATACCATGTTGTTGGTATTTTACGACTCCCTGCACAGAAGTAAGTAATAGTTCAGTGTAGACTGCAGAGTGAAGCGGACATGTGAGTGCCACTGAGGGCGTTTTTTTCTCCTCTGACTGCCGGAGTTCTGTCTTATCAGATGTCGGAGTGGTGTGAGCAGCATCATGAACTGTGACCTCAAACCTTGTACATTAGTAATATTGGCAACAATGAATCATCATGATTGTACTCACGCTTTCACTGTGATGCACAAACACAGCACTGAATTACATGTCCGTTAGTTAGGATTTCACTGCAACATTTCACAAAGTGTGTTGGTGTTGTAGTGTTGCATATTCTCAAGACTAGTAGTCGTGGTATTACCAGGTGCAACATGCCATGCACTACCAATTTTGAACATTGATAATTATGGCTCACGGCAAGAAAATGTTCTGGAACCTTCAATTGTTGCCTTGGCTATGATTGTGGTGTGAGCATGCACATAGTTTTATTCACTACAACCGGTAATTGTGTTGTTACTTTGCCACACGTGAACAGCAGCTTGCGACTCGTGGAATACTGCTGGTACATGATACCGGTCACCGTGACTTCAAGCTACGCTTTCCAACAACCATACCATTGTCTTTGTGCGTAACCAAGATTCCTGGTTGCCCCTAGGTTGAAGGTATGACCATCCTTGTTTGGAGGTCGTCCATAATTATCAGTGTTGGCACTAGGAATTAATATCATACGCCGTCTCCGGCCCTGATTGTCACTATTGATCACGACATTACGTAGGTATCGGAACGTACGGTGGGGAGGTGGGTGGGGGTGCTATGTATGTGATGTTTGGAGGAGGGGGGGGGGGGCGGGGGGTAGCCCTTGGCGGATGATGCCGGCAGGAAAATTTGGCACTTTTCCTGCAGTATGCTTCATGCATGTGTTGGCATATGGATAAAGAATTGGAGCCGCTGAGAATGCAAGGAAGTGCCTGCCATAAGCTTTGTATGGTTCTGCCAATTTCACTGCTTTTCGAGCAGAATCTGAATTTTTTCCGAAGCATTATCCGCCAAGGGCTGGGTGGGGGGGGGGGGTGTATGTGTTGGAGGGGTGTATCTGTTGGAGGGGGGGGGGGGTCTACTTTTCACGGTACGGTTGTGGTGAATGGCGACAATTATGGGCAACCTCTTTGCTGTGCTCAGGGAACTGCTCCAATACCCTAATGGCAGTATCCAGTATCCACACCTCTCCCCTAGCTGCTAGATATACATGTACATGTACCTAAGAAGTACACAATCTGCAGACAGCCTGAACTGTTTCGTCCTTTGTGGACTCATCAGCGCAGCACAGAGGAAATGAGCTTCAGAAGTCACAGTACATGTAGATCCACATGATTGTACATGTACTTCAAAGTAGTGGTACAATGCACTAAAAATAAAAGGGGCCCCTTCCACACTACGCCGAAAGCAGTGGCTTTTACATGTACCGGTACATGTAGGACACTTTCCCCTTGAACACTGGTCTTGTTTAGTACATGCATTAGCTGTGGTGAAGGTAAGCAAAGTATGGTCAACTGATAACCACAAAACATGACCGTATTGAAGCCCTTGTCTGGGCTGTAAAAAGTAACAAATTCATGCTAGTAGTTGCATTTACTACCTACCAGTATATACATGACTAATACTATTTTTTGACTAGTACTATGCTAACTATTCAGCAACCGGCTCTCAGCTCTTGGCGGATAATGCCAGCAGAAAAATTGGCAGAATTTGGTATCGTTTTTCTGGTATGTTACATGCATGTTTGGTGCTGGTATGTTGATGGAAATTTGGAGCAGAATGCAAGGAAGTGTCTACCATATCTGCATAAGGCTTGTTTGGTTCTGCCAGCAGAATCTGCCAATTTTTCGAGCATTTACTTGTATCTGCCAAGGGCTGCTCTGAGTCTGACTCAATCACAACGCTTGGAAGAAAGCCCTCGCATACCGTGTAACACAATGACACAATGTCATGATGTGTGTGTGTGTGTGCCAATGGCCAAGCTGGCAACAGGGTTTGCTGGACAGTGTAATGTAACAGCATGTGTCGAACCCCGTGCCCCGTGGGAACCTAAACGTGCATTTTGACATAATACTATGCCCCAGAGGAAACTTGAAAGGAGGCATGCCGTTATTCAAGTTCCTACAGACATCCATCACCTCACCGACGTCTTTACCCCGTGATCATCCATACGAGATTATGACTCCATGATATTATAAATCAGTCGTATAATTACCGCATAAACTAGACCCACTCCCTCTTGAAGTCTTGATGCCGTAAATCCACCGCTAGGCCAGTGCAGTCTGACTCTGATTCTGAGTCCACAAACGGTCAATGATGATGATTGTGATGACGAACGGCTGCTGATGGTGTGGCGTCAAGTCAACCATCTGTGAATACCAATCTCGTCGTCTACGTCTGCACGTCACTTTTGCAAGGCGGTAGAGTAGCAGAGGGTTCGAAATGAGTAGACCGTCTGTTTTATGCCACCCAAACTATGTCTGGCCCTGCTCTGGGTGAGCTGTGATTCGGAGCTCAGCTAGCCTGTCTGTTTCACGCCTTTTGTAAGTTCAAAATTCGTTCCGGGTCCAATGAAACTTTGCTTCAGGGGCACAGGCGAGTCAAGCACGATCGGTTTCTTTGGAACGTCATCTCATCACGCACGTCGTCCGAGCAGTCGCGGCCAACAAATGAATTTTAACAGCGGAGCAGGATAGGAGAAGCAGTTCTGGATCTTTCACTTGTTGCAACTGTTGTCCGAGGTGCTCTCGGAGGATCCCGTTGAAGATGAGCTCCCGGCCAACCAGCCCAACTGGCAGTATCTCGGAGCAGCCTGGTCGACGGTTCCGTCCGGTATCTTTGTCATGCAGTCTTTCCGAAGAGGAGACCTATAGTCGACTGGTTGAGCATGGACGACAAGAACTGCTCAATGCTCAAGTAAAAGGCAATGGGCGCAGCGGCAGTCGCATTACCCAGGTGCCGGAGGATGGCCTACTGCCGTCGAGTACACCGTCACCACCGCCGGTTAGCAATCCGAGCGCGCTTTCAAGAAGCGTGTCGTCCGTCATCGTCAAAGACTCTCTGTGGATGGCAGCACTCGAAGATGCCGCCTACAAATCTCCCTACCAGAGTAGCTCGAATCTGCACGCTGAACCTCACGGCCAGGCGCAATCGTCTCCTGGTCACGCACGGCCGTCCTGTCTACCACTTCGGAGAGTCTCGTCACAGGTAAGCCCTCCGACTTCTCACCCAGCAGAGCAACCGAGCAGTCCTGCTCCATTCAATCTAGAAGTGTACGACAGCTCGCCATCGGCACCTCGTCGAGACTTTCGCGCACTGGGCGCTACCTCTCCTTCTTCGCCAGGAGGTGGTGATCGTGTTGGGAAACAAAGCATTGGCAAGGGCCACGAAGGTGTGAGCGTGACGGCCCAAGAGCAGAGGAGGGCGAGGAAGCCACAAAGGATTCGCCGCCTCAGCAGCATTCTGAACAGCTTCACGTGTGACCTTGTGGCAACGGACATCGAGTACGAAGTCCCCATACCGCAGCCATCGGCGCTCAGTCGTTTGACGAGCTCTGCGGCGCAGAGAACGAGAGAGGCTGCGGCAAGACTGGGATCATGCTGCTGTTCACGGGAAGGCGAGTACGACGTGACGCAGAGCTCCGTCGAAGATGGGCCGGGGTTCTCAGATCCGGAGAGTGCGACGGAGCAAGAACCACGAGCACGTCTAGCCAGCATTAGCAGTACAACTAGCGGTGAGGATGGTGGGAAGTGGAGGAAGATCTTGCATGGAATCTCATTTGAAGCACAGCCAGGCAAGATGATCGCCATCCTTGGAGGGTCAGGTAGGAGCAAGACAGCACAGCATGCACCGCCAATGCTATGTATTTTGTGATGTGCATAGTATGCATCATGCATTTTGGAAATGTTCGTGCTTGGTTTGGTTCACATAGCACCGACATGCACTGGCCGGGGCTGGGAAAGACTGCTCAAGACTACTTGCATCCTGCCCTGGCGGCGTGTGTACTTGTGAACCAATGGGTGAATCAATTCTGTAGAATAATTATACAGAATTGATCCACATTGCCATTGGTTCACAAGTACATAATTGTTATGCTGCTCACAAAAGCAGGGAAATCTGAGTGTGAAGCGTACTGGTACTCGCCGCATAGGCTATGCTCTTCCCTTGGCTAGCAATGATCATCAAAGAGGCCAGTTTTCGGACCCAATTACCAGTACTTGTTAATGTATGTACTGAATTCCTTGGTGGAGTCACCTTAGGGCCCGGTTCAGACATGCACAGGGGTTCCGCTTTGGTGGTGAGGTTTTGCGGTAGTGAGGTGTGTGCCTCTCCAGCGGAACCACATGTGTATGGCCACACATACAAACAGGACAAGCTGGTCTTTTGTGACGGAAAAATGAGAGTGAAGTGGACTGTGGTGCATGCATGATGCAGGGTGAGGGCGGCGCATACCTGTATATTATGACATTGTTGTGGGTGTCTACTTGATGGGTATGATGGGTGTCTCACAACACAAACACACAGCACATACACACACACGTACATGCACATGCACGTCATACACGCACACACACACACACACACACACACACACACACACACACACACACACACACACACACACACGTACACATACACATACACACACTCTCAGAAAAAAACTCAGACCTGCCCATCGCTGAAGCGATGATAGCGAACAGCTATGTTAGCCATAGCGACTTGTGCTGGGATTACACCATTCAACAGCTTGCAAGGCTGATGAATTGACCGTCACTAATTTTAGCCTGGTATCCACCACACAGCTGATTGAAGTGGCTTTTTCTGGCCAGTGAATCCCTATTTTTCATTTTTCATTTTTTCATCACACACACACACACACACACACACATAACACACTCACTGGAATAGAACACTGTATTTATGATCTTTGGATCTCGGATGTTAAACCAAAAGTAAACGTATCAATGGATACGAGTTGTGAGCCAATTAAACCAGTCAATGGACAGTCAGATAGTGCAAAACAATTGGGCACAAAACTGACAGGGTGTATTCCATTCGATGGTGGGACACCTACATGTAGCTAGAGCACATCTAGCCTTCCCACTGGGCCTTGGACCTTACAGGCACTTTGAAGCTGCCTTCTCGATACATATGTATGTACACTGTATATCATGTGCACATTCACATGTCTGAAGGTTTGTGGTTTTTCAATAAAAAATAAATAAAAAAGTTTCCTCTGAGACAAAAATGCGATAATACTCATAAAAAGGACACACTTCAGGCTCATTACAAACATCTTGAAAGTTTTTGTCTTCACAAGTATACTTTCAAGCCTTCTCATCAGGTGAAATACAGGCAAGGGAAAAGGAACAGGAACAGTGGATCAAATACAGTAAGAAGGTGGTAAAACAGCGCAAAAAGAAAGAAAGAAAGAAGATAGCTAAAGTAAACAGCGAAAATTGCAATAATGACATTGAGTTTTCTCGCATTTGCACCTTTGTGTCATTATTGCAATTTTCGCTGTTTACTTTAGCTATCTTCTTTCTTTCTTTCTTTTTGCGCTGTTTTACCACCTTCTTACTGTATTTAATCCACTGTTCCTGTTCCTTTTCCCTTGCCTGTATTTCACCTGATGAGAAGGCTTGAAAGTATACTTGTGAAGACAACTTGAAAACTTTCAAGATGTTTGTAATGAGCCTGAAGTGTGTCCTTTTTATGAGAAATAAAAAAGTAGATTGGGTTTTGGTTTGCACATTTGGAGATGTGTTCAAGGTATGTGTCAGGCTGTCGAATGTCTCACTATTCCCTCAGTTCCCTGTCAGTTCCCGGCCTAATGCTTGCACCAGCTGATTGTTCATAACCTGGTTCAATTGGATCAGTGTAAACTTTTAAAATGTTGCTTGTATCTCGTATCCATTGGAACCAGTTTCTCTCTGATTTTGGGTGCCAATGATGTGTGTCGTTGGGCACATGCATTTGTGTGTGTGTGTGTGTGTGTGTGTGTGTGTGTGTGTGTGCGCGTGCGTGTGTGTGTGTGTGTGTGTGTGTGTGTGTGTGTGTGTGTGTGTGTGTGTGTGTGTGTGTGTATGTGTGTCAATGTCTGCGTGTCACTGTGCATGCAGGGTCTGGCAAAACGTCGTTCCTGGATGTTCTCTCTGGCCGCTCACCCCCGGACTGCAAGGTGTCTGGCAAACTGACTATCAATGGGTCTGTCGTGCACTCCGGGTCCGAGGAGCTCAAATTCTGTGTGGGTTATGTGACGCAGGTAGGTCGAATGCTTGTAATGACTCCCCTTGATTGTCAGTGGCATTGAGAAACAGAGCCGTACTGACTAACTGTGCAGCTAAGTGCACAAAACACATCAGCTGTTCATCATTAAGGTTATTGGCATTTTGTGCTCAGGACATTTTCAATTGGCTTCGACAAAATGTTTGCGTGCTAATCTATTGTGGTAATTTTGCTTGTTTACGCCATAATTATAACTTTATTCTCGTCATGATTCAGTCACTCAGATTGATTCTTTATTCTGTTCTGTGCTTATCTTTTCCGCAGCAAATCTTTCTTCTGCCGATGTTGACGGTTGAGGAGACGTTGTGCTTTGTAGCACTGCTGCGCCTGCCAAAGAAGCTATCGCATCAGGAGAAATTGATGCAGGTAAGCCGGTCATACAAGTAGAATATGCAGGCAAGAACCATAGTCTCTTGCGATCTCTGGCATGTACTCACCGTGTCCATGCAGTTTACCAGCCATACATGCAATGAGTGTGTCGCATTCTGCAAGCCGCGTACTGTTGGTGGTTCTCTCTATTATGTTGCATATCAAAATGATCGTATCTGCATAATGTGTGTGAGTTGTCATGTGACTAGGCTGTGGTAGCATCTACGTGCATATCAATTGTGTTCCCTAGTCTGCACTGAATGTAACCATGTTCATGAGACGTCATACCGACGCTGCCCGCACTACTACACTGTGGCCGTGCTATTCTACATGTCCAGTCCTGTTGGGTTGCCATGTGCAGGTATCACAAGTGCTTGGCTACCTTGGTCTGGAGCCCCTTGCACAGCGTCTTGTCGGCGGTGAAGAGCTGAAGGGTCTGTCCGGTGGACAGCAGAGGCTTGTAGCCATAGCAACACAGATGATATACAACCCGGGTAAGGACTACTTGTAGTGTGCATGCTGGCAGAAATCTTTCACAATATCAGGCGCGTGCGCCGGTGCCCTTCAAAGGGGGTGGTTCCGGGGGACCTCCGCCGGGGAAAATTTTGAAGCAAAATCCTGCATTTTGAGCGAAAAAAGGGGGGTTCTGGGCACCCAGGAACCCATACGGAGCACGCACCTGAGTATTGATGCAAGAGTCTGGAGAAACGTGATTGATCATGACACACAAGGACGTCGCACTTAAGGCGAACGATAGGCGTGCGGTTTTTTACTATAATGTGGTGGTTAGTCAGCCCGTGGACACTGGCTCGTCCACTGTCCATTCAGCACTGCAAATCAGAGAAATGAGGCCACACCTGGTACATTGACAAATTAAAAAAAATCATAAGGTTGAGGAGGTTTGAAACAGGAAAAATCTGAAGAAGAATTCCTTGCCACCATCACCAGGACTCGAACCAGGTACCCTTGCTTATGGCCAGCAATGCTCTACCACTTAAAACAATTCTAGTTGAAAATTCGTTCACCGCGCTTACACCATGCTGAACGTGATCTTTTCCGCAGGTGTTCTAATCCTTGACGAGCCCACATCTGGCTTGGACAGCTACACGGCCGAGCATGTTTGCAAGACACTGCATGAACTGGCCATGCAGCGGTCCCGCGCCATTGTCCTGACTATCCACCAGCCAGGCCCAGAGATCACACAGCTATTCGACCATGTCCTCATCCTATCAAGTGGCCATACCATCTACAACGGCGCGGCCGATCGTCTTGTCCGCTACTTCAATAGCCTGGGCTACACGCTGCCGGAGTTCACGAATCCGTGCGATTATTACGGTGAGTCAGCGAATGGAAGCGTACAGTTTTACAGCGGTGGAACATGCAGACACACACATACATGTTTAATGTATGTGCCCCCCCCCCCCCCCTTCCCTTCCTCCCCACCTCCCTGTAGGGACACGTGTATGTGCGCGCACACATACATGTATGCACTGTGCGTACTTGCGCGCTAGCCAATGCTGAAAGTGCTGCACACGCTAACGTATACTTCTGGAACACAAACAAAATTGATTGGGGTCGAGTGTGCAACTAGCACACTGCACATAAAGCTGCACATAAAGGACAAATACTACTCGCTTTGTAATAAAGCTATTGTCTCCTCGTCGCTTACTCATAAAGGACATGCCTGAAGGATGCAATATGTATGCTAGCTTGTCTTGTACTTTCAACTTTTATCTTCTGCCTGGCGTGTATAAAATTACTACAAAGCAGAATAGACTCGGATGGGGAGCCAATGATTAATTTATAGTAAAGAAAACCTTCCCCTCCTATGTTTTCATACAACTTAGAACCTTCCAAGTTGGAAGGCTGTTGGAGTGCGCACCCAAGATGTGCTAGAGCTGATAGCCAGTTAGTTGTAGAACGTGTCGGTCAGTTTTTATGCAATGTTATCGCATGATCTGTGTCAAGTAACTGGTGGTGTTTGTGGACATTATACCCGCGGCGTAACTTGTAGTTCCTTGGTCCATTTCTTTACTATAAACGAAACAGAATGGCGATGATTTCAACAATTTGCCGTGCCTTGTTCTTGTACAGTTGACCTGGCGACCATTGACACGCGGTCTTCAGTGAGGGAGCAGCATTCGCGCAGCTGCTTTGATTTCCTAGTCAACGCCTATACAGACTTCACTCAAGTAAGCAGTGCTGGCCTGTCCGGCATCAAGTGTACAAACGTGTACATTGTGCCTGTAACAGTGTTCCTTTCCACGTGCACAAGAGTGTATAGGACAAGTTATTTACAACCCTGAACAAGGGCTATAATGTATTATAATGTATTATACAAAAATGGAAATGTTCTTCTGCCCTCTCTCCCACGACCTTTTAAAAAACATTCTTGCAATAATTGCCCGTCGGTACTAGTTATTGTTTGGTAGTTGAACTGTGTTAAAAAGGGTTCTTATCTTTGACTCAAAGTACAACAACTGCGTGCATGCTTTAATGTCAGATAAAAATATTGACTGGCCGGCGAACTGATCAATGGCCAGTGACTTCGTATATGAACCATAGCGGACTCCGCCTGTGCGCCTTTTTGGTGGCACGCTTACCGAGTCTGTGTCACGGTGTGAATCTGTGCTGCAATTCTTATCTTTCCAGGACCTCTGGAGCTTGGATGATGAGAGCGATGATGAAGGCGATGAAGAGGAAAGGACAACAACTGGAGGAAGCACTCCTGGAAGTGGGTAAGCCTTGCATGCTGGGGAACCTAGGAACCGATACAACGGGGAGATAGTGAGATCCGGGTATGGGAGACCATGCGGCAATGTGTGATAGAGTAACAGAGACAACTGACAGGTAGAAGATATTTCAGCTCTGCATGATCTTTTCTGATTGATCACGTGAAGAGATTGTAGCCGTATGTAGGTGAACCACTTGTGTGTGTATGTGTAAAAAAGAGTCGTGGATAGTTGCTTCATAACTCGTTTCCATGTGATTTCTTCTATTTAAAAAAGAAAAAAAGGTGTGTTTTACTACAACATCTCATCTTTCCTTTCACAGTACATTCAACTTGAGCCGCTGGATTCCAGCCATGACTCCGATGCACCCGAGCAGGCGCCAGATTGCTTCATTCGCTTCCAGTCATCAGATCCACCGACGCCGTACCCAGTTCCTGTCCATCGCCACTCTACCCAAGATGGTACCCACACGGCCTGAGAGTGTCAACAGCTTTGTCAAGTTTGGAATTCTACTGAGGTAGGCACGGTGGCTCATGATTACAGTACCCATATGTGTGTTGGGGGGGGGGGGGGGGGTGCGTGCGCGCGTGTGAAACAAGAAATTTCCCAGCTGTCCGTTAACATTGCCTCTTGTTCTACTGAGGTGATCAGAAATTGATACAAGGGCACTGTGTTGGTAAGGCACATTGAATGTGAATGTCAGTAGCAACTGCTAACTAGGCCTACTGCAACATGACCAGTATATGATATGAGCACATGACTATCCAGTAGCTGCCTGTACTGTCCGACAGCCACTGTGACAATGCATAAACAGTGCTATTATAACCGGAAATTATTGGTTTCCCCTAATTGCTGTATTACAAATCAGAATGAGAAAGCACTGCATGTATTTTTCAAGTGCCGTGTAATTCAGTAACTTGTCAGCTGTTCTAGGACGTGCCACTCCGACCAAGCAACTTACTTTTAAATGCTTTTGCTGTGCGTACCTGCTGTTCATGCCACAGGCGTACCGTCAAGAATGAACTGCGCGACTCGACGGAGCTCCTCCACCAGGCATTCCATGCGGCGCTGCTCTCGTTGCTCTTCGGCCTGGTCTTCATCCAGCTGGGCATGGAGCCTGCAGACCTGCGCAACCGCAAAGCCATTCTCTTCATCTCCTTCACGCTCTATCCGTTCATGGCTGTCTTTGAGACGATTGCAAAATGTAAGGTGAATGTGAACAGTAGAAGTATTTTGGACAATTGCATTGTATTGCTGTGCTGCGCAGGACCATATTGGCTAGTGCATTCCATGGTGAATACTTATCCCACTCTTCATTCCTGACTTCGACGGAATGGCATGCAGTGGCTGTGCCATGGGTAGGTGTGAGGCAGCATTTAATCATTATGCGTGTGTGTGTGTGTGCGTGCGTGCGTGTGTGCGTGCGTGCGTGTACGCATGTATGTGTGTGTTGCTGTGGATGTCATAGATGCTGGACAGCAGATGATGGTGTTTCATGAGATGGTGAATGGCCTCTACACGTCAACACCGTTTGGTGTTGCCAAGGTAACACAGTGATGAGTATGCACAAGCCAGAGCGTAGTGGCCAGCCCAGCATCAACAATTTAGGAATTGTCCAGATCTATAAACACATACATACGTTCAAAACCAACGGGTGGAAGTCCAACCCAACTGATACCTTATTGTCTGGACTGATGCGGGTTACTTGTTGCCTATGCATTGGTTTTGACCCTTGGCAGTCAGTGCTGCTGCACCGGGGCATTAAGGAACAACACTGTCACACCTAGGCCTATTGGCAGGGCTGGGAGTTGTGAGTTGGCATGCTTGATGTACATGTAAATTATGGTAGAAAATCATTCTCACTGCTCTGTCTCAGAGAGAGAATGATTAAATATCCAAAAAAAAGGATATTTAATCAATTGTCGGGGAAACTCCTTGCTCATCTCTATCTCTGAGAACACACAGCACACGTGTTTGCAGCAGTGTTTGCAGAAAACGGCCATGTTCCTTTTCGTCTCTGTGCACAGATTCTCGGTGAGCTGCCTGCCAGCTTGCTACTCTCGGCTGTCTACAGCATACCGCTTTACTTCATGTCATCGCTACGTCTGGAAGCTTACGCCTACTTCAGATTCCTGCTGCTGGTGATTCTGCTGTTGCAGATAGCACGGATGATGGCCTTGGCCGCTGGTGTCATTACACAGTCGCCCAACTACGCAGCTCTAACGGCTAACTTACTCTTCACTGGTAAGCTAGGGCGTCAACTGTTGAACAGACGCCGTCACTTCCACTTGCTGCTGCTGTACATGCATGGAGTATTGTGATCTAAAGCAGCTTTGGTACACTGGCTCATTTGCAAGGTCTTCTAGTGTGTCAACATTTGCAAGGTCTTCTAGTGTGTCAATGTCCAGCAAAAGCGGCTTCCTTAGGTTACTGTGCCTGTGATTTCTTAGGTTATGCATTGCACTTCAAACCGTGACATGTGTGTACTCCATTATACACTTTCACACCATAGGAATAATTCTCTACATTTTCTTGTGAATCCCGGCCTTGACCTAATTTGAATGTGCGTGTGTGTGTGTGGGGGTGCGTGCGTGCGTGCGTGTGTGTGACAATTATGTCATGAACAGGATGGATATTGACAGCTGGCTACATCATCAACATCAACAACCTCTGGCCAGGAATACAATGGGTAGCGTATATAAGTCCTATTAGGTTAGTACTGTGCTGTGCTGTGCTGTAGTACTGCTATTGTGCATTGTCATCGCACAAAACGTTTAAATCATAGTCAACCCCCAGCATCCAGAGCATGACTACTCATTGTGAGAATGTTCCTATTATCCTAGCAAAGATATTGCATCAAATGTCAAGCCTTCAGTCAGTCTGCAGGAAGCGCGAGCTCCAATGCTGTGTGCAACCACCGTGTTCCCAATGTCCAATAGAGCTCCCCGCACCTCACCACCACCACACACCACCACCACACACCACCACCACTGTTCTGATGGCTAGATGCTTCTTCTGCTGCATTTCATATTTTGGCATGATAACTTTATTAGTGATAAGTAGTCTTGGTGAGAAAGAAAAAGAAAAGAAGAACAGAACTCTACAGAATACATGTATTTGAATTTACTGGGTACATGTATGGTTCTGTAGGATTGCACTAAGGGGCCATCCATAATTATCGATCTTTTACACGATGAGAAAATGTTTCGTCTATGGGTGGGTGGGTCAAGGGGAGTTTCGTTTTGAAAATATTGATATGTGAGACATCAAGGCATTCTTGCTGTCAAGTCAATCTATTTTTCGTTCGGGGGGGGGGGGGGGTGGATGGGGGAGGGTCCTAACTAAACTTTTCGTTTCGTGAAAATTATCGATAATGCCGGATAGCCCCTAAGGTTGTGTGTTACCATGTGGCCAACCTTGCCGATCATCTTTCCCTGTGTGCAGGTATGCTTTCCAAGCGGCTTCAATCACGGAACTGGAAGGGCGTGTATTTAGTGACTGTCCAGCTGCAACTGGTACACTGATGAATGCAACCAGCCATACTGTCATGCAACGAATGACCTCGGCGATCACCACTGCGCCAACCTCCTGCAACCAGCCACTATCCGGTGACAGTGATCTTACAGACCTTGGGTTCGACTTGCTGACGTATCGCGAGTGTGTGGCGATCATGCTGGGCATGTACGCAGGGTTTGTGGCCATCGTCCTCACCGCCATGCGCATCCGTAGTACATCTCGGCCTGAGTAGAGGTGAGGCTCATTACACTGCTATAGCTACTGAAGTACTCGGCGATTCTGCAGCCCCAGTGTCACTAGCCGTCTGTGATCTGTTGGGAACTGTTCGAGCGTACAGCTCTGTGGATTGAACCATTGGATGCCCGGTGAGCACTGGCGGTGAAGGTTAAAACGAATAATTATGATTTTCATGACGAACTCGTCACAACTAGAGTCTGGCAGCAGAGTGCATGCAGGTAAAAACCATGAGCCTGTGCATGCCCATACAGGTCATGTGACAACACGATTATCACTGTCGGGTTCAGATTGAGAACTGCAGGAAGTGTGTGCACTTGCCCGTTTCACCTCACACTACACTGATTTTAATGTCAGCCACTTGGTGATCTGCTTTGAACCTGCTGCACGCAGCATGCATTATAGTTACGTGCACTTCTTGAGGCATTGGACACATTCGTGATGAGTCCAATGCAAGCGCTAGTATCTTTTCAACGCTGGTCTAAGCTATAATATGGCCTGGTTGACATCATTACTGTTGAGACCATACCCGCTACCCGCTTGACCAATCCACTGGGCTTAATCTCCACTCCTACTTTCGCCTATGGTGTTCTGGTTAATGATGCCGGGTCGTGTGGGGACAAGCCCACCCAACAACGTACAGTAATGTCATGTACTGCCATTCTTTCATTTCCCTCCCGAAGAACTTGAAGAGTTTGAAATGTGACTTGTTCATGAATAAAATGGCAAGCACGGTAGGGGTGGGGTGGTGGGAGAAAACCGCCCACACGTTGGGGCTCTCTGCCTCTCTGCCTTCTCTATGAAATGAACAGTTCTGCATGCTAGTTATTAATCATAATGATCGTGGCTTTGAAGTGCTCACCGCAAACTTGGCCCAGGTCAGCGATGCCGCCGCAATATGCAGTAAAACGTGCATGCTTACAATTGCAGTCAAGTGGCCCTAGCCCAAAGGTGACTGGAATGGGCGCTGGGAGCGAAACCCGCCCACATCGTTTCACATTCCAGACACCCATGCTGCGACTCCCTGCTAGCTGCTGTGCGTCAAATTCAAATCAGAAACGGATGCTCGGTGCTTCGCCAACTCTCTTCCAACCTTGCAGACTCGTGGCCTCACAGCCCGTCCACAAAGTAAAGCAAATCTGTGTGGCAACCGCTTTGAAAGGCATTGCACCCTTATCTCTTAATTTGCTAGATCCTATATATAGGATTTTGGTCATATTTTTCAACTCAAAATGGGTGTGGCATGAGCATAGGGAAACGGTATGTGAGCAATTCTTCTGTGTTAGGTCTTACAAGCACAGTCTGTATCGGCTATAGAGTGACCGGATATAAGAATATACCGGCTACAGTGATATTGGTACGAAATATCAAAAGCAAAACGTATTTTATCCAGTAAAAATATCACTCTAACCAATATATAATTATTATCGGATGTATTGATAAATCGGTTATTATGATGGCAACAAAGAATCAAAACATGCATAACACACTACTGTATAAGCAGAAAATTTCGTCGGTCAATAATTTCGTCCAACTCCAAAGAAAGGGAGTTCGTCCGGTTGTAAATTTCATCCATGGATCATAAGAGTGTATTGAAAAGCTGGACAAATCGATATTAGTCCGGCATTTAATTATTTAGTCCAACAGCTCGTTGGACGAAAACGACGAAATTAAATTCCAGACGAATATTTCTGCTTGTACAGTATATTCTTATCGGCTATAGTGATAACTTTAAAATACATGTAGCAATAATATCAAAGGCCCTTTTTTTTACTTTCTTCACGTTGCTTATTTTTATAGTGATCCATGCACAGTCATGTACATGTACATAACAGAATGTTGTTATGGAAATGCGGGCACTGTCAACTATGCAGCATGCTCATTTGTCAAAACGCCATGCTGGAAGTATTTCCTTGCCTTTCATGTGTCGATCGAAAAAAAGAAGAAAAAAATCTATCGTATCGCATAATACCAAGAGTAGATAAACAAGAGTGTGCAACTCGCGGATGGGTTGGCCCACGGCGGAATTTTTTGTTGACGTAATCTTTTCGACGACGCACGCGCTACGAGCCTTTTGGAGAGGTTTCCCTCGTGCACTTGGCGGGGCTTTACACTACAAGCTCGGTGCCCAGCACGTGCTCTCACACTGCTCTGCGGCAAAGTACGCGTTTCCCTGAAAAAAGGTGACGTCAACAAAAAATTCCGCCGTGGGCGGAGGTATCTGCAGATTGTGCAGGAGAGATCCGGAGTTGCACACTCTTGTTTATCTACTCTTGATAATACCGGTAGTGATGCACCGGTTATGGTGATAAAATCATGTAAATCAAAAGGATACGCTATAGCCGATACAGACTGTAGTGTAGTAGATATGGAGAGTTGAATAAGATATTTTTCAAATATTAACAAACCACCCCGTGCCACACCTGTAATGTTCTTTTGCACATTCACTGCTTCAGTCCTTCCCATGACACCAGCTGAACAATGCTGCTCAAAGTTCCAATTCTTGCTCAAAATGGGTATTCATGATGTCCTATGAATCTAAAAAGTAAACATTCATGCCTCAAACATATTTACAGCTATTATGAAAACCATTATGCTGTTATTATGGGTCAGGAATGACTCATGATGACCAATAACAACAGCATAACGGTTACGCATTTTCAAATCCTATATAATTATAGGACTTTGTGCCAGCAAATTAAGAGATAATAATAATTATTAATTAATTATGCGCAGATTTGCACTCGTGACATTGATATCCACAATCATCATTATTCTCAACACAGCCAAAGCCATACGTAGCCACACATAGGTGATAGTAGTTGGGTGTATGGCTTGCAAACACCAGCTCTCTAGAGTAGTTATAATAAAATTCAACAAGAAATGGGTAGAAATAAAACCAAGCGGAGAAAATGACCGTCATCAAGCAAACAGACGAGAAACCAGACAAGAAACCAGACAATGTAGACAATTCGGTATGGGTAGTTTGCAAAACAGCGTGCGTGTGCGCGTGCTTGTATATTCGCGGGTGTCTAGCCTATTTCAACGACACAACGGAGAGTCCAAAAAATAGCACATGATGTGAGAAGAGGGCAGTGCAACTATTAGTATTACAGGAGGCACGCAGCTCCTACGATTGGGAGCAATTGACAGACGGCTATGGCAACACACACAACAGGTGCAGGGCAGCTAATGACAGGATCAATCAAGGTATACCAGCGGGGGGACAGCAATACTACAAAAGAAAGAAAGAAAGAAGACGTCACTCAAGCTCTTTTTTTCCACGTCAACAGGCAGTAAGGAGAAAATCGAAACTTACAAATCAAGTGGGTGGTTGCACTTAGAGTGAGAAGTAGCACTAGGAGTGGCATAGAGCCAGTAGCACAATGACACACACACCTAGTAACACCTCTCTGCTTAGAAACATTGAACACCGCCGGCGACGACAAGAACACTGGAGATAGAAGCAAACTGAATGCATGTGTGAGAAAGACCAACCACGACATGCTGTGTGACCTGAGGGCGTGCACGTGTGTTTCACGCATCTGGTAAAATAAAAAAAATTGTGAAAAGTGTGCACTGAGAAAATGGTGCCCAATTTGAAGAAAACAACCTCTCGCAGAATAGTAGCGAACCCCTGCACGCAGCTAGGTTAGGTTAAAAATAAACAAGCTACAAGATAATAAAAGAGATATACAAATAGAAACGAGAAAAGCTTCTGTCCGAAGTAGTATATTCTGATGGCCTTTATGTACGAAAGGCGAAGCACATGTCTTACGTAGTGGCGGCTGCTGCTGCTGCTATTGGCTCGTCGGCACTAAGCTGAGAAGATGCTACGGCAGGCGACGGTACCCGAGATAAAGTCAGGTGCTTCGGTGGTGACGGAGAGTCACTCGATGACGGTGTAGCCTGAGCACAACGTAACAACACATTATGAAAAATGTCACGCACAGAGCTTAAAAAAACATTGCCTCTTCTAGTTAGTTGAGAGAGGCCAGTTGTCTACCCCGCACATCACCAGCCAGGTCAAGCCGCAGCTGCAATTTACTGGCACAAATCAGCAATAGGCACACATCCAGTACAGGATACTAAGAGCACACATCCAGTACAGAATACTAAGAGCTATGCAACCATCATACCACCATTCAAGCAATCATCACTAGCTGCACAATACACTGCACCACTGGGACAATCAACTCACCGGCTGCAGATGAAAATGGTCCCGAACAGTCTGCAAGTCCTCCAGTTCAAACTGCAAGGCGAGCGAGAGTCATCGCACACAACATACCCATGCACACCCACCCACGTGCACACGCATCCACACACACACACACACACACACAAACTGAATGACGACATTCTCGCAAAGAGTAGGATGTTATTCAGTCCGGCGAAGGAACAAAGATTTTAAATTCGCCTTTTTCCCGACATTGAGATTGTAGGTTCATTCCCAGTTGCAGAGAACGCAGGGGCGTCGGACACAGTGCGGTCACTACGGTATTGACCGCACCACTTATTCTACCCGTGAATAAATCAAATACACTACTGCAAACTGCCTAATGTTTGCGGCGTATTAATGTTTGCTAATTTTGCGAGAAAATCATAACGCAAATATTAACCATCCTGATATCAAACTTCAACAGTGGATGTATATGTGTGTTCACAGTGCTCCGCGGACATTTGCCATTGTTAACTTGCTGGGTCTGGGAGATCGCAAAAAAATTAGTGACGCGAATATCGGGCGGTTTACACTAATTTGGGTTCTAAATTTCCAAACATTTCGGCCCAGCCACCCCACCCCCACGAGAAAATTGTATTTCAGATGGCTGACCGTACCACACTAAAATACCTTCCGACCCAGATGTGGCACAGCACATACTTGTACTGTAGAACGGCTAATTTTCAAGGGTAAACGTTTTAGCGTTTTCTGAATCTGGACCAATTCACGATGAGATATTTTAGCTCAGATGGTGAGCCAAGGAAAAAATTGTAACATGGAAAAATGTGGGCACAAGTTATGCGATCGAATCCACCAATTAAACCAGATTTTGAACAGTCAGACGTGCACAATCTAGCACAAAACTGACAAGGAGTACTGAGACATTCCACAGCATAAAAGTCAGCTTGAGCACTGCTCGATAGCGCTAACCAACGGCCTTCCAACTTGGAAGGTTCATGGATATTAGTGCTAATTCCAAAGAGGGGAAGGTAAGCGCCATCGAGCAGTGCTCAAGCTGACTTTCATGCTGTGGAATGTCTCAGACTCCTTGCCAGTTTTGTGCACATCTGACTGTTCAAAAATCTGGTTTAATTGGTGGACTCGATCGCATAACTTGCGCCCACATTTTTCCATGTTACAAGATATTTTAGCGATCAGAGTTTCAGTGCTAGTCATCCTTCTTTTTAAAGTCGCTAAAATATCAACGTCGCTAAAATTAGCCATTTTACAGTAAGTACATATGCTGACATAATACATGTGTCATATCCGGCAAATGCTGCAACTGTGACTTTTCCTACTCATGACTAGATGCATGTTATTATTGTTGTTGCCCGCGAGCATCATGCATGCAGAGCTGTCCTAACGTATCCCCTTACCTCTACATCTGTGTACTTGTTGTAATGTACTACAGTCACACCTCGCTTATCCGGTCCTCATTTATCCGGATCCCTCGCCATCCGGAAGAAAATTGTTGGTCACCGATTTACAGCAATGCTATGCACACACACAGTGTGTGTTTTCGATTATCCGGTTCCCTCGCCCATCCGGATATTTTTTGTGGAAAACGGATGTGTGCGGTTAAGCGAGGTCTGACTGTAGTAGTAGTATTGATCCACGCCGCCATCATCTTGCCTCTAGCTCTCCCCTGACAAATCAGTTGGTGACAGTGCGACATATTCATACCTGTCACCGTCGTTATGGTCTGGTGCGAATATACATGTACGTCCGTACTACTACTGAGTACTCTAAGTCCCGCTGATGACAACGTAGGACCTCACCGTATAGCCGGTGCTATTGCTGTTGCACTGAACAATACATTAGCAGCGTAACTACTTCTCAGCTGGCATGGTCGTTCACTATTGCATTATAACCCACGCTGATGTTTACTTCATGTTTTAGCTAAGCTTACAATAGGATGTGTTCGTAGCCGCTAGAGTCACTTCTCGTTTCTCCTGCTTCTTGTCCGGAGCAATAAACGTCCTTTAGGTTACGGTGACCTTGTTGTGTGAGTGGTTGGGCAGTAGTCGCATATTGCGGCTGAACGCTACTACTAGCGGGATACCCGGTTACGACATTTGGCGCTGCGAGCAGGGTCTGCCCACCACTCTTAGGGGCCTATTATATGTGCAACTCCAGCCCGGGCTGGAGCGAGCGGGCCAGCCCACCAAGGGTGTTTACATGTGCAAGGCCGGGCTGGTCGCCAGCCCGCAGTGAGTTTATATGCGCAGAGCACACGCCAGCCCGTTGTGAGTATGCAGCAAACACACTACGACTGTAGTGTGCTGCTCCGGGCTGAAACGTAGGGCTGCAAGCCATACTCAGGTTATAAACCTAAAAACTTTTTTTCTCACACAATGTATTTTTCTGCTGGTTTCTTTTCGCGCTGTGGCACATGTTTGGTGTGTTGTATCACCTCGTTTCTTTTTCCTGTTTATCACATTTTTAGCTGTCCATATCAAAGTATTTTGCAAGTAGTTCCCCTTCCATTTAAATGTAAATCATGCATGTCGACAAATAAATAGTGCTCACTGTACGTCCTTCTTGTTGCTGTACAAAAAGCTTCATAGATTTTCAAGACAATATCGGGAATCCTCTTTATAACTTCCCTCAAAAGGTAAAAGTACCTATTTTGTAGTATGAACGCAGTGTTGACACCATAATAATACAACTCTGGCCCGGGCTGGTCTGTTTATATGTGCTTTTTCTGGCCCGCCTAGCCGGGATCCCGGGTGCCTCGAGGCGGGATCCCGCCTCGCCGGGCCAGCCCGCTTGCCATGTAAACGCACCACAGGTTTTGTGTGGATTTGTGTACAACCCCGAGATCCCGGTGCAGGCGGGCTGGCCCGCCTGTCGAGCAGCCCGGGCTGGAGCTGCACATATAATCACCCCCTTAGTAGTACAAAGGACGGCTAGATGGCGGAAACTAGCAATTGCCAGGCAGAAGAGGTCCGGAGGGCGCTCCGCGATGGAGCGGCGGCCTTGGAGGCAACCGGGCGTGAACGGCCTGCCACGCTGCTGCGGAGGCTGCGTGGCGAGCTGATTCAGTTGCAGCGGTCATCGGAGGGCTTCTTCTCCTCCTTCGTCGGCGCGGATGCCGGCAGGAGTGAGGATTCCCCTCCGGTACCAAGGCGGAACGGTTCCCTACCCCAGAAGCGGCGACGACAAGGCGAGGAGTCTGCCAACGTCGCACCAGGAAAAAGGTCCTGTTCTCACCGACGGCGGGTGAAGCGGGAGGAGCGGTGGCAGGCGCACTTGGCCAAGCGAGGTTGGCCTGCGGAGAAGCCTCGCGGTGAGGCGGCGGCAACAGTTGCCGCGACTACTGCTGCAGCTGCTGTGGTGGCAGCGGGAAGTGTGGCGGGAGTTGTCAATGCTGCACCTCCCAAGAAGCCCTCCTATGCTGACGCGGTGCGCGGCGGGCCAGAAGGTCAAGGTGACCAGGTCGCGATGGACCTGGACACCGATCTCGATTACGGAGGCACGGAAGATGAGGAAGAGGTCAGCGCAACTTACACCGGTCGGCTACGGTCGGTGGTCGTTAAACCAGTCCGGCCACCACCGCCACCACCGCCGGCACCTTCAGCGGAACCCCAATGAGCGCCTGCTCACGTGGACATCGTGTATACTGACTTGTATGTATTGCTAACGCATGATCTACATGTGCATGTATGTCTGGCCCACTCCCCGGTCATGACATTTGGCGACCACGCCAGGATGTCCAGTGCCACTAACATTCCGAACCCTCGGCAGCGAGAGGGAGCGCTGCCAATAGCCAACATCACCAACGCGTCCGTCCTGGGTACGACGATAAACTGCACCCTGGCGACCGCGGTTGGTCAACATCACCAACGCGTCCGTCCTGGGTACGACGATAAACTGCACCCTGGCGACCGCGGTTGGTCAACATCACCAACGCGTCCGTCCTGGGTACGACGATAAACTGCGCCCTGGCGACCGCGGTTGGTCAACATCACCAACGCGTCCGTCCTGGGTACGACGATAAACTGCACCCTGGCGACCGCGGTTGGTCAACATCACCAACGCGTCCGTCCTGGGTACGACGATAAACTGCACCCTGGCGACCGCGGTTGGTCACCATCACCAACGCGCCCGTCCCGGAGCATGACGATAAACTGTTGGACGTAGCCAGAGCTGGAGAGGAGGTACATCGAGGAAGTCAAGATAAAGCCAACACGCAAACGGGAGCCGCGGATTTCAAGTGAAGTTAGTTCGGGTCAGTTACCAGTTCCTGGACACGTTTCTGATCTTGTTACCCGTCTAGTCTTGATTTGTCTTATTACTAATATTAGTTCATAATGATAGTAACACAGAAGCAATCCCTGCAGGCTGACCAATAGCTTGTTCGAACGTAGTTGTAACGGCATAACTTATTTTTCTAACACTGCTGTGGCTGAGAGTCTGTGCAAGACTGGCGCATATGTTTTCTTTGGTTCTTGGGTCGGCAGAGGTTGGTTCTTCCTTTTCAAGTTTTCAAGGGTTTTATTGTTTTGCTTTCTTTTTCAGTGCCGTTACTTTTCTTCTGTTACGAGGACGTAACATGTTCGTAGGCGGGGGATATGTCGCGTCCGTGTGTTTCTATCTGTATTGTATTCCGTCTGCTCCTACATGTATCTTTGTCAAGTGTTTGCCGTGGCGTCGATGTGTCTCGTCTATGAATAGCGTTGGGAAACATATCACTATTCATGCTGTGCTGGCTGCTCGCTCGCTTCGCTCCTTCAGCTTGCACGCAACTAGTACAGTCATATAGCAGTATATAGGTCGATGCTTTGCGTCGATCGGGGGTTGTTGTTGTTCTTCTTGCTTCTCTATTGTTTGAGCTTGGTCCTAGAGTGAAGCTTTCGTCTTCTTGTGTGGTGAGGGTGAGGAATGGGTATCTGGACTCCTGGTATATTTCCGTAAAGAACCTGGAATTGTATAATCCTGATAGTATGTCTGGCCAACTCCCCGGTCATGACACATGTGCTAACGAGTAGGCACCGAATGTACTCGCTTACCTGCTGCAGAACACAATACGTCAGCAACGAGCTGTCCGCAGAGCGTGCACAGTCTTCGCAAAACACAACATGCTTGTCATCCAGCTGCGTGGTGAAGAGAAAGTTGAACACTTCGACCTGCACACACACACACCAAACACCAGTTGAACATGCATGAAAAATGCCGTGAATCTACCAGGTCAATGCTGAAAAAACACATATACGCGTTTATTCAAATGTGGTTTTTTTGCCAAAAAGATCCAAAGCCCCTTTGTGCATGCGCAAGTGACAAAACGCGGGAATCTTCCACTTTCTTCCACTTCAAGAGCTGGAAGAGCCAGCAGAGCTTGGCAGAGTCTACTGCTTTTGGCAAAGGATAAAAGAACTTACTGCGACAATCTTAACAGACTGAATCAGGAGAGACAGGACTCAATCAGCTGGCAACTCACCTCACACTGACGACAGTAGTAGGTGCCTTCGTTTTTCTCGTGGCCGTGCCACTTGATATCGGTGTTTTCACGGTCCAGTCTCTCTTTGGTGGCCGTCAAACGGGACATACTGTCATCCATGATGCGCCTACACAAGACAGTTGCCGCCAGGCACAACAAATCAACAAAGGTAAGAAAGACCTCTGATAGAATAGTACCTTAGTCTGCCTCCGTATACAATATTGTTGTGTGAGAAGCAGCGGCGCGCGCACCAGCCAACGCACAAGAAGAAAAGGCAAGTGATGATTCGAATTGATTTCACAAGCCTACAATTCTGGAACCGAAACATTGTACACAATGGCATGCTTACATCTATAATCTGTTTCCTTGTGAAACGACTAGCATACATCCTTGCCTAGCTACAGTACACTACCACTAAACTTACTTCATCTGAGCGTGAAGCTCTGGCTCGCGGATCGGAACAAACCGTGCCAGATTCCAGGACAGATGGATCATCGGTACGATGGACTTCACCGCTGAGCACCCAGCAGAAAAAAAACACGGAGAACATGAAGCAGTGAAGTTGACTACTAGTACCGTAAAGTACCGTAAAGTACCGCCAGAGTGCCCCCGTCTCGCGAGAGCGCCCCACCTTGATTTTACAGCCAAGGGAAGAAAATCGTATGGCAGAATGCTACTAAGTTTGTACGGTGTGAAAACCGTAGTGTAACAAGGCCACACTTGGCATGTTTTTATGTGGAGCTCGAAGGTAAACTGGGTACGGGTTGACTGCACAGCGTGCAATGTGTGTGCAAGGTCCGTGTCGTATGACCTACAGACAGGAAACCATCTCCACAAGACGATCAGGAAAGGACGAGATGGTGGGGCGCTCTGGCGGTACTTCACGGTGTGTGTGAGCTATGTAGAGTGCTGCTCAATGAAATCCAGTCGCATCACTCAAGAAAGCGCTGGGCATTGCGCAGCCCTGGACCTGCGAACCCTGGGCTGCGAAATGGTGCAAGGTGCAAACTTGAGTGACGCGACTGAATTTCATTGAGCAGGACTGTACGAACGTACTACTACTGCTTGCCGTCAACGATTCATTAGTACTACTACTGCTTGCCGTCAACGATTCATCATTCCATATTACACGACTTCCTAGCTACTGTCGTGGATATGGAAATCCAGTCGGAGGTCAAGCGGCCCCAGGGCGCTGGCCATGCAGCCGTGAGTTGGCATGCGATCAACATGTGCACTGTGCTTGCAACATTCTGTATGCACTGAGGGCGCCAGCCCCCGTCACTCGACCGGATTTCCATGTCCACGACAGTAGTTTGGCTAAAGATTTCACGAAATAAAGTGAAGCAACCGTTGTAGCGATGAGAGAGAGAGAGAGAAAGAAAGAGAGAGAGAGAGAGAGAGAGAGAGAGAGAGAGAGAGAGAGAGAGAGAGAGAGAAAGAGAGCACATGTGCGCTAGCAGCAAGCAAGTGTGAATGGAGACTGGCCTTACATTGCACTTTGTTCCAGCGGTAGCGTTCCATGGACATGCGATACTGGTGCGCTGTTGTCGGTCCAACATTCCACGCAATGTTATTGCAGAAACCCTATACAGGTCCAGAATAAAAAATAGTGATTAAAATAAAATTGTGAAATCACAAACACCACCAAGTACAACAGTAAATAGCAGCAACAGCACCATCACCACCATCACCTGCAGCAACTGCAACAGCAGTAGCAGCACCTTCCAAACTACGTGCTGTTGCATACAGAACAAGATGAAACTTGTTGCATTTTCTGAGAAAATGTGCCAGTGGCAGTGGCAGCCATGATCTAGACTACACAGTACACAGTACACATGACTAAACTAGCTCTCTCTCTCTCTCTCTCTCTCTCTCTCTCTCTCTCTCTCTCTCTCTCTCTCTCTCTCTCTCTCTCTCTCTCTCTCTCTCTCTCTGTGTGTCTCTCTCTCTGTGTGTCTCTCTCTCTGTGTGTCTCTCTCTCTGTGTGTCTCTCTCTGTCTCTCTCTGTCTCTCTCTTACAGTACTTACAACAGACTGCACCCAGTGCACACAGCCAGTGTTGACCCATACAATATCACCAGCCTTCTGTGTGAAGCGGTACACGGGTATCTTGTGCTCACGAAGGTCATCCAGCAATGGCCACCAGGAGCCGGTTAGGAAGCATAACCTCCGCCTGATAGGCAAAAGGAATCACAACACACACAACACACAACACACACACACACACACCAAATGAGTGAACACATCATCATCATTGTGACAGAACAAGGAGCAGGAGAAATGGTACTTTACAAAGCACGACTCCCTGGAATGCAGCACTGATAGCAATGCTTAAAAGAGACCATGCGCTAGAAAGAAACAGAGAGGTAGACAATGCAAAGCGGAGGATAGCCTACGACTTCGGGTGCGTCTTACAAAGTAAGTGTCTTTTAAAATTCAGAGAGGCCACTGACCTATCACACATGCGATGCATCATTCCCCAATACTTGTTGGGCACGGCAAACCATTCGCAGTCGCCCGGTCCAATGTTGACGTTCACCGAGCAGAAGTTGTTGTTCTCCTGGTGAGCGGGCGTCCGGCAGCCGGGAACTTTCATATAGAGCTGCACCGAGTTCATACCTAGCACTGTGTGACCGACGTATGATAGGATGTTCTCTGATGATGTCACCTGTAGTGTAGGCAAGACAATGGAGATTGTGAGAAAAAAACAGGAAAGGAAAAAGAAGAAGACACCGCCAACAATGCATGTTATTATCTTCTGCACACACCGACAAGAGAAGAACTGCGCTGTTGGTTGTATCGAAACACAGCAAGCACATCAGCTTTTTGTACTTGTACTTGCTCACTGCCACACATTGGTCAAGTGGGTATTCCCCTGGAGAGGAAGAATTCACAAGGAATCTTTGGAAAGACACTCAACTGGCTATAGAGCTTTTTCAAGGTTGGACCAACAGTCACTTTTCGGGGTCAAGTGTGAGAAATTGTTGCATCGCTGGTGACCAGGCGAAGCCCAGTTCACGTTCACTTCGTATGGGAATGGATGCGTGGAGGTGAAATAAGAGGTAGAATGGCAATCCACTTGATGTCCGACAGATGTGTTGAGTCGGAGCAGTTGCCAGGAAGCCCTTCTATGGCTTGGGCGAAAAAGAACAAGCTTCAGAATCGCTCCAAGCTCTGGTGGAGACGAACCTGTCACATTTCGTATACTTTTCGATGCGTTTTGACATGCGACCGGTTCACCACAGTCTTGGGGTGAGCGTCGGGGCGGTGGCGGGAATGGCATCCTTGAAAAGCTCTATTGACCCCCCTCCCCATCCGGATTTCTTGGATCTGATCCTACTTATGGGCTCACCACACCGCAGGAAGTGGGCGAGGACAAGGTGCAGACAACGGACGAAGAGCATTGGTATACACACTGGCCATCAACCACACCCACACAACGTATAATTTCACCAGCTTGCGTAATGTCTACACAACCGTTGGGAAAAGGCTACAGAAGCAGTGCACAGCAGGATATGCTAGCAACACGCCAGCCACGACACACTCTTATGCTGCATTACCCAGAGATCCAGATCTAGATGAAAAGCTTACCGTTAGGAACTCCGGCAGCTTGGCAACTTCAGCGAGCAAGTCAGCGAAACTGTGGAAAGCAGAGAACAAACACAACGTCAATCCTGGATCAAGCAGCATGGTTCATGCACATAAAGCATCATCATGATAACCTTTCAAGATAACAGCAGCCATCATCCGCTGCTTGCCTTTCAAAATCAAAGAAAAAAGCAAAGAAAAATCCGTACAGATGAGCCACTGGTTCCAGCAAAAGGGAGAGATCATCTTGCAGCAGGTTAACATAATAGCGTCAACACGATCACAGGGTTGGGTGTAAATGGGCAATTGGCAAATCACAACAAAATAATATAGAGCAAAAGACAACGGCACCATGTCAAACAGCTGGGAAACCACTGCTTACATCGTTTCATCAGACAGATCGCCATTAGTTCCGAACTTGACCGCCTTGTTGCTCTTCTTTTTCCTGCACACAAGGAGAGAACGTATATCAACGGGTGAATTCATGATGACAGCACCAGCACACATCAGGGATTTATCACACACAAAGAGCACAGAACAGGCAGGAAACAAAACAGCAGAGAGAGAGAGAGAGAGAGAGAGAGAGAGAGAGAGAGAGAGAGAGAGAGAGAGAGAGAGAGAGAGAGAGAGAGAGAGAGAGAGAGACAAAGACGAAGAATAGCAGCACAGCCGTAAATCAGCGCACACGGGTCACTGCTTACTTTGAGGATTTTGACGGAGTCTCTGCATGACCAGCGGCTTCCAGCGCTGCCTCTACCCGACGGTCCTGAGCCTCCTGCACAAAATAACGTTAGAGATGAAGAATGGCAAAGCATTGCAACATAGGAGACAATATTACTGAATTTGCAGCAAAGAGACCACTTGCTTTGGTGATGCCGTAGGGTTTCTGTATTAGATAATAACTGGATATCTAGTGCAGGTTGCTTTGGTGATGTCGTAGGGTTGCCTCTATGTCACGTTGCTGTTTGAGTGAATCAAGACATGTATTGTATCATTTATTTACGGATTCTCCAGACGTAAATGGATACCTATCACGGGAGTCTCTCCAAACCAATAGAATATTGAAAATAGGACAAGTACAACCAGTGTGGGATCTTGTTTTCCTGCACCCTGGTAAACCGGAGTGGCCAGTGTCAATTAGACATGACGATGCTCACCATTCAGCTCAACCGAATGGAAAACATTAAGATTTGTTATCAAGAGTTTGAGAAATTAAAAAAAGGAAGGCTGAAGAAAAATTGACGCCCACATAAATATTAGTGTACGTATCAACTGGGTTTCAGATGGTCCGCAATGACAACTGACCTGATACGCCTCCATCATTGTTTGCTTCTGATACTCGTAGTACTTGCCAATAGATACTTGAGATCTGCAACACGCACACACAGAATGTTGAGATTCGTAGAACTAGAAGTCCTGGCCAGAGTCATAGGGCAGTCAGCGTGAATGGTTATTATACACTTCAGAACAGCATTCTAATTGCCCCTCGGGACATACTACGCCCCAGTTCCCAAAGCAGCTGTCCAACTTCAGCTATCAAAGAACAACGCAGCGGACAGTTTATAAGGAATTGTCTTTTGCAAGTTGAACACGCACACCAAAACTCCAGACCAGGAACATTTGGCTGAATAAGTTACAGGCACTGCAGAAGAAGAGTAAGGAAAGGTAAGAAAACAGCGAGTGGGACGGTGAGTGGACTAGTGACATAGAGAGAAAGAGATAGCTAGCTACAAGTACATTGTACATGTAGGTACGGAGACGAGTAATGACACTGAGCAAGCGAGACCTACCGACTGCTGTGGTAACGCCATCCTTTTCTTTTCGAGGCAAATTCAATGTTGACCTCAGGCTCTTGGAACCGCTAATAATAGAAGAAAGAAAGGCAAAATAGAAGAAAGGGAATTAAATATCCCTCCATTCTCAGTCAAGAAATTGGATATAGCATGTAGCAGCTTCTGCATTCTGCTACCAGAGAGAATACTAGAGACATACAGGGATCACAATTAATGCGGGACGTTGGGTTACTACTGAACCTTGCTCCACCTTCGGTGTAACGAAGACGTAAACATTCAATCATGCCCGGGGATGTGCAAGATCAGATGTATAATGTTAAAATGGTACAGACGTGCAGCACTGCATACCAGCATTCCATGCTGCGCACACCACCAAACACCCTGACAGGTATCCATTGGATGTAACATGCTTTTTAGCAACAACAAAAAAATGTTATAATTGGGGGGGGGGGGGGGGGTTCGCCACATGGTCATCTGCTGGTGGTCATGGGTGTTCAAAGGCCATTCTGTTTCTCTTTTGGCAGCTATTCAGCAGTGCACACTCAGTCATGTACAGGAACTAAACTTCTGCTGCATACCTGTGTTCTTAATTCCATAGGGTGCTCGTGAAAGTTCTCCGATAAATGCTTGGATCCGAAAAGCTCCAGATCTGGACAACAACAACAACATCGTGAGAATAAAATATTTCGAACCAACAAACAACACACACACACACGTGCACGCGCAGACACACACAGACACACAGACACACAGACACACAGACATACACACACACACACACACACACACACACACACACACACACAAGTGAGGTGAGTGGCCATGTCAGGCTTTGAGAAGGAAACAATAAGCATGCTGGAGTAAGACAAAGACAAAACTACAAACGGTCTCTTTCACCAGTTCAGATGTAACCCGAGTCAGCCCTGTTTTGCCGAGCATGGGTGACTTACTGATGTTGCAGGATTTCGCACAGTTCTTGATCAACAAGATAGGGTGTTCGCTAAACAGACACAGGTGACGCAGCTCAGCTGAGTGCGCTTCAGCGATGGAATTTGCCTGCACGTGTAAAAAAGAAAGAAAAAAAGAAGAACCGATATGCATTATTCATCAGTTGTCTTTTGTATTTATGGATTCTCCACAGGCCTTTTAAATTAAATGGCGCCCAGTACACAAGCTACATCAACAAATCATCAAAGCATTATCAGCAGCTGCGCTCACTGGGAACGAACAGCACATGTTGAGCACTACTAAACAGAGCTAGAAAGCAGTCAACCACCCGTGTACATGCAATGTACATACCTCAACTGTCGGAACCTCTGGGTTGAGGTCTTTCACTTCAAGTGTGGGCATCTTTGGTGGAATAAACTTGGGTGCAGTTAGCATGTATTCTAGCTTCAGCTCACTGACTGCATGAGACGAATACTGCTCTGACAGGTTTTCACCCTACACACACACACACACACACACACATGCACACACACACACACACACACACATGCACACGCACACACACACACGCACACACACGCAGAAAGACAAACAAAGCAATTGCAATGTATGCTTCAAACAAGTCCCCCACTCCTCTAACTCCTAGCCCACTCTGGACCAAGTACACTTACCTACAGTTGGTGTTGTTGTTCTTAATACATTATAACCCTAGCTAAGCCAAAACAAAAATCGTAGTACCCAAGAGAACGAAGCCATCCTAATCATCAAGACAACGTACCTTCAGTATCACTGGCTCGCGCGCGTAATGCGAGAAACCGTTCCTGGGCTGAGAAGAAAGCAGCGTGGGTGACAGGACATCTGTGATCTGCGATGGTCGCCGTGCAGACGGAGACTGTGTTCTCATCGTCAAGGACTGTTCGTTGCGCGCAGCTCTGCGAGTGTCATCCGCCGCACCATCCACTGGACTCTGGAAATCAACCGAAGAGGCGCTTGCATTCGCCCCACTGCTGGTAGGTGTTCTGGGCTGCGGTGTTTTCCGACGTGGTGACCCGGCGCCATTGCTTGCTGTACTAGCACCCGGCGTACGTGGCTTTTGACTGGCTGTGGAGGCTGGCCCGGGGCTTGACGACGGTGATGACGTTCTCTGCATCGCTTGCTGCTGTTGTTGCTGCTGCCCTGAGCTGGCAGCGGCCATACTGGCAGACATGGTGCTGGGCGTGTTACAGGTACCCGGGGTCATGCTTAGCGTACTTGTGGCGGGCATACCGGCGCCACTACTTGAATCCTGAGATAAGCGACCCAGGTCTGACAAGCCAAGATTGGCTGAGCTCAGCACATGATCCCCCATGCCGGTTGGGGATGTAAGCGGAGATTTTTGGAACACCTTCAACGCATCTGAAAACTCCGATTCGGACCCCACACCCGAGCCCATGAATTCTGATCCATTCAGGAATCCATCCAGGCTTTTCAGGAAGTCCACTGAGGGTGACGGTGTGCCTAGATCGGCGGGCATTCGTTGACTCGCTGAACTAGTAGGATTGAGTATAGATGCAGGCCATGCAGAACTACTGCTGTTCACGCCATTCCAAGACGATGCAGCAGCAGTGTTGGGGCTGGCGGATTGCAGATGATTAGTAGCATTTGTCTGGTATAAGGAACCAGTCCCGATGGGGTCAGAAGTAGCAGCGCCGTTATTGCCACTTGATGACGTTGATAGCGAGGAGAGGTTGTTTTGGTGCAGCGGTAGTGACATCTGCTGTAGCTGTTGCGATCTCTGCTGCAGCTGCTGTATCGTTTGCTGTTGTGCATGCTGCCGCTGCTGCAGTAGTTGCTGCTGCTGCTGCTGCTGGCGCAGGTGTTGCATTCTCTGCTGCTGGAGTTGCTGTTGCTGCTGCTGTTGCAACTGTTGCTGCTGAGAAGCCTGTTGCATGGGGTGAATGAGCGGTGATTGAGGGCGAGAGAGCTGTGTTGCTAGCGATGATGACATTGTGTCATGTGGTGCCAGCGGAGAAGCTGCTGCACCGGGCACGGCACAGTTGCGAGACATACCACCCAGGGAAGTCATGGCGGCGGATGCTTGCCGCATCTCGTTCGCCATCGCCGCGCTTTGACTGGCCACATCGGCGGCCATTGCCAGGCCAGACACTGTTGTTGCAGCAGCTGTTATCGGGAGAGGGCCTCCATTAGGTAGGCCACTGGGTGTATGGGAGAGCATGAGATCAGGATCGATGGACTTCATTCGCCGAGAGTTTGCTGCCATCGCCTGTCAGACAAGAAACATAGTGCAAAAAGGGCACAGAGTAGACCTCTAGTATACAAAAAATGGACACACGGTACACATCCACGAAGTACAGACCTCCTGTGATAAGTTGATAACCAAACTACGAGTATACGAACAAACACAGCCATTCAAGACTCTCACCTTCGCCTTTCGGCCTGAATTGGATGCCTTTGCTACTTGGAATCCCGTACTCGGACACGATGACACCTGCCGAGCATACGACATGAAAAGCTACAGTAAGGCAATACTAGTGCACACACTGCCTTTTTCCCTTCGTGAAGGTGCATGTGGAATAACAAAACAATGACCATAAAACATTAAGTACGGCCACTCAAATGTAGCTCTTGCTCTACTGGGAGTCAGCTGCAAGACAAGGACTATAATTATACAGAAACTTCAGCATAACAAACCTCCAGGGTACACAGCGATCTTTACTTGAAAGCCGCAGTACTGTGCGCCCAAGGATAAAGGACTGGAAAAAGCTACGCAGGGTGTTAAAAGAAAACAAAAACCGTACATGTTTTGAATATACATGTACAATGCAGAGAGAAAAGCTTGCTATATCCAGGGTTCTCTCAGTCTCTACTGCATCTTCACTGTAGCTACCAGGCGTAATATTACCCGCACCTGAGATAGCTGTTGCTGCTGCTGTTGCTGTTGTGGAAGCGATTGCATGAGTCTCGAAGTTGCATCCAACTGCCCAGACGTTGCAGTGGCAGCACCTAGCATTGCACTCGGATCAGCTTGAAGAGTGTTCATCTGCCCGTTCATTCCATTCAGAGGCATCTGTTTAGATAGTAGCAAAGCACAGTTACACCAGTTCATACGCTGCTGCAGCACTACATGTCAGATCGTCTGCAGACGGTAGAGTTTGGTCCTTTGAGGAGACTCATCTCCAACGCACAGACAAATACGCCTGAAGCTGCTGGCAATGAAAAATAACTTTCCCAACGCCAGAATTTAAACCATGACTAGGCACAAGTGTACCTTGCCAGAGCACTCAAACTGACAAATTAGTGAGGTAAAAAGACGCAAGTGTGTGAAGGTACCACTCCACACGCAAGTGCTCCACCACTATGAAGATATAGAATACACATACCGTAATGGCATGTATAAAAGCAGGTGCTTACGGCCGTTTAAGCCGGGGTTCAATCCAAGCTTCTATTCAAAACATGCTTCTACGTCAAAATTGTCAGTCTACACTGTACAGTGCACATTGTCATGCATGTAGTGTGCACATACATGTACTTGCACGTATGCTTCTATTCAAATTGTGCTTCTGTGTCACGGCACTCTTAAAAAAATCGGCTTCTATTCGAGTCATGCTTCTATATGGGTCATGCTGTTATACGCGACACTACAGTATAGATCCAGTGTCAGATGCAAAATGGCGACAATCAAGAAGTTGTCTTTCACGTGAATCGTTCAGATGATAAAGATGGAAAAGCAATGAGGCATGGACACACAAATACATACCTGTGACAGATGATTGGCCTGCAGCAATACCGATTGGTTACCCACCAGTGGCTGCATGGCTGAATTCAGTTGATATTTCGCAGATGACATCAGTACTTGTGATAAGCTCCGCAGCCTACAGTAAACAAGCAAGCCGAACAGAATGGAATGATTAACCGTGTTGCGCAAACCTGGCGCAACATACACACGGAAATACGGCAGTACGATTTCTCTATCACCCCCTTCCCTCGGGGAGGGTTGAACTGAAACTCGGTCAAGTGCAATGCGTCATGTATGCGATCCAGTCCATCTGTGTTCATGGCAGGTTGAAACTCAACCCGGTGTGAAAACTCTTATGTAAACGCAGCCCGAGTGTCCCCGCAAGCAGAAGCAGAGTGAGGAGACATGGGTAATGGGGTGCGTGGGACACTGCTGTCCAGTGACTATCAGCTACGTACTGTTCCGTCTGCGGCACATTGGCACCGATCTGTGCCATGTTCGCACTGTTACGCCGTAGCATCTCCATTCGCTGGTAAAGCGTGTCGTTCGGACCACCTGCAGGAGAGAACAAGGAACACCACACCATACACTGCACTCAGACAAATAGCCATTCCTTGCACAACTGTAGAATTAAACATTATTTTGGTAGCATTTTAATCATTTTGTAAACCGGGATGCACCTGCAAGTGTTCCTAAGTAAGGGGGCGTTCGTTTTTGATCTACAGGTTTCGGTAGGTGTTCGTTTTTTGAAAAAAATTCTCCTCAAAAAGGTAGATTCTACTTTCCTCTACCGGCTCTACCAGGAAAAAGTTGGTAGAATCCGGTAGAAGTTGGTAGAGCTACGGGATTTCCAGCAAGATCAAGGATTTGTACACAACTCCATACAGAGGAGAAACATTTTCACGTACATATCGTGTATCGTGTAAACTACTAAATCCGATAGAATAGTGTTCGTGCACTTGCCTCTACCATCTACCTCTATCGGTAGAGTGACTCTACTCTACTCTACTAGGTAGCTAAAAAGGAACGCAGCCTTAGTGTACTTCAAGTAAAGATTGCGTTTATAACCAAAGGAAAGGAGAAAGGATGTTTTCGCATTTGTTCTATACGTTAACATGGCGTGAGCATCATTGATGAGTGTGGTCATCAACACTTGCTCTTTCACTCTCTGCTTGCTGTGCAAATGGGAGCAATTCCTTCACTCTGGTAGCACTGACCATGCCAGCAATGAACGGGTATCAAATTATACTACAGTTGTGACACGTGAAGATTGGACCAAAATGCACTAGCAGCGTTGAAGGCCAAACAAACAGCCTCGCACTCGTAGACCTCCAGAGGTGATCAAACTCGGTCTGCGGCGCTGCGGTGTACCTCGGTCTGGATTCCACATGTCACAGCTGTAGAACTTGGACATGAAATAGTACTGTAACTGATCTCCTTCAAAAAGAAGAGTAAAGGATCGCATTACACTCAGTTAGAGTGATCTTTCCGCATCCGTAGGATCGAGGCTCCTTTCTCCCTTAGTTCCATTTTTAAATGCATCCAGGTTCCATGTTTCAAGAGGTGGGGGGTAACGTCAAGAATGCATGACAGGTGGCAACGCAGCACTGGTGGCGTGTACACTTCAGCACGGGATCCTACCTGTCTCGATGGCCTTCTGATAGCATGCAAGGGCATCACTAGTGCACACAAACAACATAGAGGGACACACACAAACAAGACACAGGTAAACACCATGCAGTTAAGTAGATCAAGCGCGAAAAAAACATACAGCGAAAAGCACATCGGTTGAGACAGGTTGATCTAATGCCATGGTTGGTAATAATTCCTAACATCATGTCGTCGCCTGAGGATTCCGCTAAAACCTGCCAAGCGTCTTTCGTGCGTCTCTTTCATCTTCGTACCGTCATCGTGGCAACATTCACACGTAAGTCACTTGCATGCGGTTTTTCAAGTAGTGGGAGTAGAGCTTCACTGGGAAGAATTTGTAGGTATATTTTAGGGTGTTAAAGGGCTGTTCAGACCCTGTACGGATACTCAAAACAGCAGTGGCACATGAGCCTTTACAGGAGACTGTCGCCTTTATTTTTTCGATGCATGCGTGCAGTGTGCCTTTACTGGAGGCATGCTTTCACTCGGAAGAATATGGTACTAGTGTGGCATACTTGATTTGAGTGTGTTGCTCGTAGAGTATGCCAACGTTGAGCCAGGCAGCGGCAAGCTGTGGGTTGATTTGCAGTGCACAGGTGTACGCCTGCAATGCATCCTGAAACTGCTTTTGCTGGTGATAGAGCAAGCTGTAGGAGAGAAGAAAAAGCACCAATAAAGAAAAAAATAGTCATTCATCGAGGGAAATGAAAAGGGGAAAATATGAAGAAACACTTCACTGTCACCACCAGGACTCGAACAGGGGACCTTTCTCTTGAGGCCAGAGATACTCTAACCTCTGAGCTATGGTGTAGCTACCATCCCAACAGAGACCGTTCCAACATTTCCTTGAGACGTCTGGCCTGATTTTTCGCACACTCGAGTATGTCGCCACTAGTCTGGGCCGCGCCTGGGGCCAGCAGGCCACGTTCTCGGTCATAGGCGTACGTTGCATTAATCATACACACAGACCAGGTAGAACATTCAGCTCCAGGGTCTAACACACACACACATCACCTTGATACCATGGCCTCGTGCTGTCTGCCCAGATGCCACGACGACACCCTGCTCTCCGACAACCCAGTTCACCAGTGCACACTCAACAGCATAACGCTGGCAGAGTGCTATTCACTAGCTTCACTTTCCTAAACACTACGACTGCTGGCCAAAAGGCGAGAGAATGCATCTGATGGCCGAAATGCGAGAGAATGCATCTGATGTAGACCCAACACCTTCTTACCCGATAGAACACCAGGCATTGGGATTCAAGTCTCCAAATGCGATGGACTGCCGACAAGCAGCAAACGCCTCTCGCACATTCCCCTGCGAGGCCAGGATTCTGAATATCGACAAAACCAAAAGCAGAAGACAGAAGATAAGAGCTGGATATGGCAGCATAGAACACTACAGCAATGCACCACCAGAAAAATAATTACATAAAAAGGCAGTTGCCTCTGTTGCCTGATGATTGCATTGACATGTAATGTATACCTGGGGTAAGACGGTGAAACTCAGAGTTGCAACAAATCAACATTGTTCCACTGTTGTACTGGGGGAAAGGATGTACAAAGAAAGGTTTGGGAAACTGCCGGAAAAGTACTCAATTCGCAAAGCGCAGAGCCTTTTTCACCTACATGTATGAAAGAGGGAGAGGGGTCCAAGTGGACTATGTTGTGGCTTATAAAAGTTTCAAGCTGAAGCAATCATCAGACAACTGATATCAAAACCTGGGGAATGGCCCTAATTATAATACTGCTCGTGCGTCAGTCTTGACGCTACAATTAGTTGGTGGTGGAGACTTGAGCCAGTATCACCATACACTCGAGTACCAAGGTGTTGTCACAGTGTCACACTTGCGGAACTTCAAGTCTGGCGTGACCTACAAGACAAGACAAGCTGCACCACAGGCTTTCCTACGTGGCCAAGACTGGTATTGAACGTGCCAGTAAAAGAAGCACAGGTTGATAAGGACCAGTTGGACAGTGGTGGTGGTTGCCAACGGCAGATTCGTCTGTACCCAACAAATGCCGCCGAAGACGTGCACACCGACACACCACACACGCGCTTGTGTGCGCGAATGCACGTGCACATGCATACGGACACACATGTGCACACACACATACACACATGCAGACTTCCACATGCCCATCGCTGAAGCTTGTGCTGGGACTACATTATTCAACAGCTACGAAGGCTGATGAATTGACCGCCAGTAATTTTAGCCTGGTCTACACCACACAGCTGTGTGCGCATACACACACACACCTCAGACCTCAGACATGCCCATCGCGGGAGCGATGATAGCGAACAGCTATGTTAGACATAGCAACTTGTGCTGGGATTACACCATTCAACAGCTTGCAAGGCTGATGAACACACGCACACACACACACACACACACACACACACACACACACACACACACACACACACACACACACACAGGCACACACACACACACACACACACTGTGCCATGTGTACGCCCGTCGCAAGAGAAGCGCGCAAATCTGCAAATGCACTAGATGTGCGCCCACAGATTTTCTCTTATAGCAACGATAGCGAACAAGATCTGAATGAGACAGACCAAGACTTGCGCCAGATAACTGTCTAATCCACACAACTGGCGAAGCCATGTGAATCGACCACCAATGCACACCTGGTCTACACCACTCGGAGTACATCGGTATAAAACGGCCAAGACAGTTATCTATGCACACCCTACACTTGCTGGGGTAACCAGTATAGACAGCACGCTGCTTTGATAGAAGCAGACACTAGATGCACTGCTACCTTGAAGTGAAATTGGAGCACGCACGCACGCACACACACACACACACACACACACACACACACACACACACACACACAGGCACACACACACAGGCACACACACACACACAGGCACACTGATACACACACACACACACACACACACACACACACACACACACACTGACCTGCTGAGATAGTACCAGGCCTGAGCATCGTTCTTAGCAACCGACAGCGACTGGCGGATGTAACGCATACCCACGTCATTATGTTCATTGTTGACCTGATCACCACCTTTGGAACGAGCCAATGTGTGGTGCAGCCAGCCTAATTGCCTCAATGCACCAGCGCGTACCTGAACAAATGAAAAGCGTGCAGCCACAAAGAAGGAACTTTAGTATACAATTCCAGGATCTGAATAAGGACGGGGGATGTCAACAAGTTGTTCCACAACAATTACATCTATTTCAGACAGCGTGTTGGACAGCATCAAATAGGAGATGTCTCTTACGTTGTTAGGAACGTTGTCAGTACTCTGCACAAGGCTAAGGTACTGGCTGTGTGCCTGGCTCAAGTCACCACCCAACTCATCAAGGTGAGCCAGGTGAAAGAGAAGCTCGCTGCGAGTGATGTTGCTCTTGGATGGATTCTGTAACGCATCCAGCAAATACTGCAAGCAAAGAAAAAGATCCAGTGCACAAATGCACGCACCCACCACACATACACACCCACATGTACACACACACATACACACACAAACACACGTACCCACGTAACAATCCAGTCATCATCACAGAGATGTGTGCAGCAAACATACATCCAGTGCCAGCAACTAATTTTGACCCCAAATCTGAGTTTATCTATAAGACTATAACCACACATCCTCACAACACTCTTCAAATGGTCTCTGGGTTACACCAATCAATGAACAAGAATAAAGGACATCATCTTCAGGATGCCCATCCTGAAGTCAGCGAAGATGGGCCTTAGCCGAAAACTCGGATAACTCCATTCTTTCTCATCGATTGGTGTAGGCAAGAGTAAATAACTCCAAGAGTGTGGAACTGCTTGCACAATCTCTATCCAGTGCTGAGCGGCAGAGCTTCACATCACGTGACAAGGTTCAATAGGTTACGCTGGCAAACAGTGCAAAGTGACCACAAGAGAGTTGAACCCAAAGCAGGGTTGCGTACAACCCTATATCTATCACGCACAGGGTGCAAATTATGTGTACAAGTTCGTCCCGTGACGTGAAGTTCAGCCATCGCAGACCCCATACCTGGAGTTGCACTCCTGGGGGTTACGTACTCTTGGTGGAACCCAGAGACCGTTTGAAGAATGCTGTGAGGATGCATGGTTATTGTGAATGGCTACAGTGGAATCTGCGCATATTGAGCAATGAGCCAATAATCTGATGTGATATTCCACTCGCAATGATCTGGGAGCACTATCATGTGCAATATTCATCAGCAGAGTGTGATAAATGTATAGCAAAGAAAAGGACCAAGGAACTACAAGTTATGCTATAAAGGTCACCTAACACCACCAGTCACTTGACAATCAGCTCATGCAATAACACGATAACTTGGTCCTTTTCTTTTCTATAAATTTATCCTTGGCTTTCCATCAGAGTGTGATAAGTACTTCGAAACAAACAACAAAATGAACATACCCGTCTGCTCTTCAACAAATCACCGCCCATCTTTAGGATGTATCCTAGCCGAATGATGACATCCTTTCTCAGAGAGAACTGCTTGTGCTTTTCTAGCAGAGAAGCAAAGACTCGATAAGCCCTGGACAGGTGGAGAAGAGAGCACAGTGTACAGATATAATTATTAGAGTGAGGGAATCCCAGAGCAGCGTCCGACATTCGCATCGCATGTAGGCCTTAAACTAAAGCTTAGGTGACAACAAGGAAGAAACCAATCCGACCACGGTTCAGGCACCAAATTGCAGACACAAGTGTTCATTTCATGACTTGGAAATTATTTTAAAGAGATGACATAAGCCTTATGCACTTTGTACAGATGCACGAAATCCTGTAGAATCTCGTAGAATCCCGTAGACTCGGTTGGGTGTTGAATGTGCAACCGGGTATGTACACACCTACGGCCCTAGTACTGAACTTCATACATCTGAACAACGTGGATAAGGTCTATTCAAAACCCAAGGACGAGCAATTGCTGACGTACGTCACAGCTATTGAGAGAAGGCCATGCAGGGGAAACATGGAAAATTGGGTGTCATCGATATGCATACGATTCATGCAAATTAATTAGCTGATCAGCCTCGACTATCCCTACAAACAAAATTCTTATTCAGGTCGTCCCAGGTTGACAGGTGACATCGGAGGCCCCAGGCATCCCCCAGACATCATGGATAATCCGTGGGGGAAACCCCCCACCAGAACGTGACCATACTTGGACACACACGCCACCAACTAACAAACAAATGCATGACCCACCAGTCGAGCGAGTGGAAATGGAAGTACACCAGCCCTAATCCATAAAGAAACGGTGCGGACGGCTCGGCGCCAGGCTGAGTAAACAAATAAAATTACAAAAATGATAGCACATAATTATCATTGATATCAACTGATGGTCTGTAAGTGATAGGTCTCAGTCTCTCAATTTAACTAGTTCTTGGTCTCTCAACTACACAAGGAAATCACGATACACACAGGAAACTGTACTACAAATTGTAAACAAAATTACCTAAAATTGCAAAAACATAATTGAACAATTCCATGATAACAACCTAACAGACGCAAAGGAGATGTCTCTCAAATCTCGGACACCAACAAATATTTACTGAAACATGTACATATGGAACTAAGCAATAAGTCACTGTCTCACGACGCCTGCGACCGATTTCCAATTGAAATTTCTTGTCTGGCACACGACCGCATTTCGGTCACCAGGGCCGCGACTGTGGGTCGACATAGCTTCGATTCTAATGCTCTAAATTACAACACTCACCTTGGTTTGATCGGGATCTTTACACTGGTGGAGGTGACGCTGATACGCAGACAGCGCTGTCGAGATAACAAATGGACAACGATGGGTGAACAATGAATGGATGGTCACACGAGGTTAGAAGGCAGGAACTCTACACTAGGACAGTTAGAGCTCAATGCTCCGCTTTGCATGGAGAATCGAGGCAGCAATGGACAGGAGATCGAAGGCAAAGTTCGTAACACATGGCCTGCTTACATTTCTCAACAGAAATCCCACAAGGAAAGCTCAAGCAAGATCAAGGCATGCTGCGGCAATGTGAAAAGCGAGGGAAATGTACACACATTGCCGTACACACAAATCCTCACCACGCGGATAGTCCCTCAGCAGCAAGTTCAGGTGTCCCAGTCGCAAGAATATTTTTGCGCTTCGTCCATCAGCATTCGGTATTAGTTGCTCGTAGTGTGAGAGGCCCTATCGAGAAACAATCAACACATCCACCTCAAGCTCAACTACAAGGTAGCATGAGATGTTTCATCAAGGAATCTGTAGCTGTCTCGACTCCGAGTGGAAGAACGAGTTCAAAATGTGTGAAATAGGGAAATGTCAATATCGAGTTTTTTTGCAATGAACACAGCGGATTTGTAGAATTGGATGACCAACTTACCTCCAAAAGTACACCACGGTAACTCAAAACATCAGCGCCTAGCTGCGCGGTGGACGACTTCTTGAAGTCATCGTCGAGCTTCAAGCCTCCAGCAGAAAGACTGGAAAGGCGAGAGCGGCGTAAACACACAAGGCGATTCAAACGAAATTCATCTCCCCGCGTTATTCAAGACAGGCAGACACTCACTCACTCAGCGACTTACCTATCGACGGTACTGACGAATTTCAGCTGCTCTGCCGTCAAATTCGATTTTCTTGCGATGTCCATACTCATCCCACTATCTCTCCTCGAACAAACCAAAGCAAATGAATCTTCTACAAGAGCCGCCAGGGCCTTTCTCCATCCTCACTGAGCAAACGTCTTTCCCCTCATCCAAGCAAACATTTCGTTCAAGATGAACGTAAAGCGGTTAGCAGCTATGTCATACTCATAGACTCAGGCACTCGAGCCACACTGCATAAAGCAAGTAAGACAAGACTCAGTACATGTACAGACAGTCAGTGCATGCATGCAAGAGAGCAGAGTCTACGTAGCCAGCTACGTAGTGCTATGCATGGCGCGCGGCTGTCAGCACATACATAGTCAGTAGACTGTCTGTAGTCAGTGTAGACCATGTAACTGTTACTTGGTTGGTAGACTGTGTAGAGTGTAGTGACACTAGTGACAGTGTAGACCAGGGAGTCGGGCTTTTACGACTCCCTGGTGTAGACTATGCTCACTCATTGGTCAGTCATGCCTCATGGTTTGAGCGCTCTGACTGAGTCTGAGTTTTATTTGAACGCACATGTGTTGATATCGAACTATCGAAGATCGATCACGACGATCAGACGACCTAGGCGTACACACACTAGTCTACGGAGTACGGTACTGCACTAGCCACTACATGTACACTGTACAGTCATCATGAACAATCATGTACTACCAAGAGTTGGTCTTAGGCCGCGTTTACACGACAACACACGGCCAGTTTTCCGTTTTCAGTCCCGCATATCTTTTTTCGTTTTCGTACGTTTACACGATCAAAGCCGATCCGGGCCGAGGTGGTCTCCGTTTGTATCGTTTTCAAGCGTCTACACGAGAGCAAAGAATCCCGGCCAAAGTAATTAGTTTGTCATGTGCCAAGTGTTGCCGTGGAAGCACCAATCACACTCAAGTAATATTTGAAAACAGGCACACGACAACACACGTCACATGACGAAAATTGTAAAAACATTTTTTGGGATTGTCGGATCCGTGTAAACGGCCGAAAACGAAACAAACGTGTCGGAAAACGAGGCGTTTCGACTGTTTACGCACCCGAATTTATCCGGCACAACATTTCCGTTTTCAAATTCTTCCACCTTGGCCAGCGTTTTGGTTTTCTTCCGTTCTGGTGTACAACTTTTACGTTTTGCTCCGCGTACCGTGTAAAAATGAACCATGGATCCGAAAGGATTTCGTTGCGTTTTCGCCCCCAGCGTTGTCGTGCAGCCTTTTGGGATTCACAGAAGCTTTTTTGCGATGCGACACGCGATGCGACAGCCGCGAAACCGGGAAATCCCCAAATCGCAACCATCGCGGACCCCACGCAACTGCCGCAACCAAGGCAACAGGGCCATCGCAGGCCATCGCAGAAGTTGAGCTTGGCTCAACTTTTGCAATGCGATGCGATGCGACAAGCGATTTGGCGTACGATTTTGACCTTTTCTACAGCAAAGTTGTACAAAGGTTCAAGAGTTGCCTACATGTATAAATTTGATCAAATAATCTTTATTTCAGGATTACCCAAAGGCTATAAATTTGATCAAATAATCTTTATTTCAGGATTTACCCAAAGGCCAAATCAGCAAGATGTTGTCGCATCACTGACTTCTTCTGTGAATGGTATTTCGCGAGTTCGCATCGCACGCGTCCGTCGCAGATCGCGTCGCATCGCGTGTCGCATCGCAAAAAAGCTTCTGTGGTAAGGCCCTAGCCCTGGTCAGACTGCGGCAAAATCGAAATAATCCTAGGATTATAATCCGAATCTCCATAGTAACTTGCCGCCAGAGCGGCAAAAGCGAGAGTTGACGCTCCAAAAAAAAAGCAAGAACGGACCACGCTTTTCCGCTCCAAACAGGATTTGACGCTGATACGCCATTGACGCTGATAATCACTGATTTTTTCATCTCGATATCGAGGAGCTAATTGGCCACGGACAACAACAAAACTCACAAGGATGGTTGCAAGGATTCACAGAAGCTTTTTTTTTACATGTACCGTAAAGTACCGCCAGAGCGCCCCACCATCTCATCCTTTCGTGGTCGTGGAGGTGGTCTGCTGTCTGTAGGTCATACGACATGAACCTTGTACACATATTGCACGTTTTGCAGTCAATCCGTACCTTCAAGCTCCACACAAAAACCTGCCAAGTGTGACCTTAGTACACTAAGATTCTCACATTGTACACACTTCGTTGCACTCTGCCATACGATTTTCCTTTCTCTGGCTGTAGATTGTAGAATCAAGGTGGGGCGCTCTCGCGAGACGGGGCGCTCTGGCGGTACTTTACGGTACTGGCAACTGAAATCCGACCCCCGGCCCCGTAGCGTCTCGTACGAATTCAATCGCTAACGCGGCTAGCGCACCGCTAGGGGGTCGGATTTCAGTTGCCAGCAATACTGGTACTACAGTCCATTCAGAAAAAATGAACTTCTAGCTTTTGGCCATAAATGGGTCAAACGTTGAGTGTTTTTAGAATTTTTTTCTGCAATCCTCTATGGAATCCTCTTCCAATTATGTTTCTGAAGTTTTTTTCTCCAAAAAGCAAGCCATAACAAGAATAGGATTTCGGCCAGGTTTTGCCCCCAAAGCATTGAATTGGGAAAAACCATAAAAATCCAGGCCGTTTGACCCCGTCTGCAACAGTGCATTGTGCGGTTCGAACCCCAGTTCAGGTACCCTTTTTGGACCCTTTTTCAAATTTCAAATTTCGCAGCACTGCACTGTGTACGATGAAATCACGAAAAATCGCCAAATACGGGAGCTCGCCAGAGCCAGAGCCCATCTTTTTATATTAAATGGACTGTAGTACTATTAATGCTGGCAACTGAAATCCAACCCCCCTAGCGGTGCGCTAGCCGCGTTACATGTACACACGTAACGTCAACCGTTACGTAGCTACTACTGCATGCACTGTACTAGCGATAGCATGGCTGCATGCACTGCGCTGCATGCGATATCGTAGACTACGCATGCACTGTCTGTCTGGCTGGAGCTGGCGCATGGCAAGCTTCGGCCTCATAGAGTCATACGTGTACAATTGTAGCCTACTACGTCATCACCTTACGTAGAAACTAATACTTACGTAGCATAGCGATGTCGTTTTTTCTGCCATGTGAACACAATAATAGAAAAGCTGACAGGATCGCTTTTCTAAATACGTGTACAATTGTAGCCTACTACGTCATCATAGTCATTGTACATGTACATGGCTACACAGCAACCGACTCGCCATGATCAGCCATGATGATGCTCCTCTCAGTCTCAGTAACAGCCCTTGTAATTATTTTGTTTTAACAAAATAATTACATACATGTAGTCTCACAGTTTCTCCCGCACACTCGCTGGTGTTAACCCTTCCTTTCTTTTCATTTTGCTGACTCGTACAGCTCTATCTTTTGTTTTTGGTGCGTGTTTTTGGCCGTGATGCCGAGACCTCAGGTCGGCAGAGCCATCAATGCCCCACCATCACTGCTGCGTCTCGGTTCAGCCCCTGCTCAATAGTTGTCACGTTTGTCCTAGTCTCATTGTCTTTCTTTATTATTTTCGAGCTGGGAATGTGAACATAGTAAAAAAAAAAAAAAAAAGTATGACTGTAGTCTTGTTGTTACGTAAATCATAAAATTACATGTACAATGTAGATCTACCACTGAGTCAATTTTTTGACGTCACATCAGTAAAACCATGGCATGGTAACAAGGAAGAAATGCAAATGGAGAGAAATCAAGAGTCCAGAAGGAAAGGAAGAAGAAGGGGACGAAAGGAAGCAGAGAAGGCCAATGCGAAGTCCATGGCCATTCAAGATCCATTCCTAGCGCCCATTACAAAAAAAGGCTGATGTTATCAAGTCAAACACCTGGCCTTGCGAATTAGATGGTTTAGAGCCTCAACAGCGTTGTGAATGGCCAAAGGGCAACTGTCCTCAGAGTTTGTTCAGCACGTCCATGAGCGACACTGATTCACGCTGGTGTTCACGTCTTCACGAGGTGTTTGTCGCGCTGGAAACGGAGCGTCTCTGTAAGTTTGTATCCCTGGTGATGGTTTGGTCTGGAGAGCACTACATACATGTACATTGTATACTGTAAGTGGTGCTCTTCACTCTTCAGACACAATCTTCCCAGTCAGCCTACTCTAGCTCAGCTTATGAGGGGATCAATTCCCCGAAACACTGTAAGCAGGAAGTGGTACTTTCTTGCAGGTTTGCCGAGTGGAAGGTTCGATGGACTTCTCGTGTGCTCTGGATGGCAGTCGTGAGTCAGTCAAGAAGGAACCAGTGACACTTTATTTCCATTGAGCCTGTGTTGGTCAATACCAACTACAAGTTGGTTGTCAAGTCTCATTTCTATTCACCAATTCCACAGTATAACTATAAGAGTAGAAAGGGAATGCCAGATCGTTGCAACTCTGAGTTTCAAGCTTCATGTACATGTACATGTATATCAGTGCGATCAGTGCAATCATTCGGTTTGTTTTGCTTTTATTTTACTTCACCAGATACACAGGCGTTTCCAGTACCTTCTCGTCTCACCATACGGCTAGACTCGCATACGGCTAGACTCCCATACGGCTAGACTACCATACGGCTAGACTCGCAGTAAAAGATGAAGAATAACGGTAAAATAGAACATGCAGCTATCTGAGGAAAATGATGTGAACATGCATTGATCAGGATGATATCATAGGTGATGAAAACAATAGGTTTGATGATACGTGTACATGAAGAAGAAGAATCGCATGCTGACGTGGCAGGCAAACACTCTCTAGGCAAAGTGTCGCTAGGGCAGAGCTAATCAATACAGTGCAGAAGTAATTACAAGCGCCGCAAAAGAGGAAAACATCGCATGGTTAAACTGCAGCTGACTCAGTGAGCAGGGGCACTCATGCAATCATCGATCAGGCAACAAATACGCTCTGCCTCGCTGCGCCATTAGCACTCTCAGTACATTGGGTGCATCCTCTGGGCCTGGGGAGTACTGAGTATTGGCCGATTCCTTATAATCATGGCATTTTAAAAAGCGATCCTGTCAGCTTTTCTATTATTGTGTTCACATGGCGCTACCTAACGACACCGCTATTCAGACACGTTGTCTACGTAGCTACGTAAGTTTCTACGTAAGATGCTCGGTACCTGGTCCTGGACCAGGGAGCTACTCCATGGCTCCTACGTACCATCGGATGCGTGTGCATTGCAGACTTTTTGTTGTTGCCTTTTCCGTTT